GGCGGCGGGGCCCCCCAGGGAGAAGTTGGGTGACGAACTCCTGGGGAAGGGGATTCAAAAAATAAAAGTAAATAAGGGATTCATTCAAAATGATCAGATTTATCCCAAAAGTATGATCTATTTGAAATAATGTCCCCCATTTACTCCCATTAATTTGTGCTAGCAGCAATGGCCTGGAGCGGCTCAGCAGCAGCTGTCGATACACCTGCCGTCCTGGCAGTAAAGCTGCATCGCCTCGTTTCCTTTTCGCGTTTTCTCCTTGATATTATTTATAATTATTAAATTAATAACGCGGAACATTTCAATTACCCCGCGTGTAGATCTCAATGGGATACACGAGCCACAGTAATCACTCCATATTCGCACTCGCCTTTAGACAAACAAAAGCCAAACAAAAATGCCCAAACAGACGCTAAACAATATAACTCACTATCACGCCGCAGTAAAATCAATCTGGGGCCCTAAGGAGCCTCTGAAGAGCAGCAAAGAGGGGCCTCTGGGGGCCTCTAGGGGCCCCTGAGGGGACCGTTGGGGGCCCCTGGGGGCCCCTGGGCCCCCAAGGGCCCCGTGGGCCCAGGTGTCTTCGCTCTTCCTGCTGCGGCGGTCGCTGAGCGTCTCGGGGTGTGGCTGTTAGTTTGGGGTCCAGTTTTGATTGAAATATTTTAAATTAATAAAAGAAAAAAAGAAAATAAGAAATAAAAAAGAAAATAAATTAACAAAGTTCGTGGGCCGTCTCCCAATCTGGTCCCTCCCCCAAGGCGCGCGTCGGCAGTGGAACTTCCACTTGAAATGAGTTTATTTCTGGGATTGCCCCGAAAAAAGGTGCCATTTGAATCTCTAGAGGTCCCCTAAGCTGCTGCCTCTCCATTAAGGGGGCACCCCGCTGCTGCTGGGCTTCTCGGGGGGCCCCTATATCTCCTTAAAGCTCTTCTGCTGCTGCTGCAGCCCCGGGACTCTTGCCCAAGGGAGCCCCTCTGCAGCAGCTGGGGCTTCAGGGGGCCAAGGGGCCCCCCTTGGCTGCTGAGGGGCCCTCAGGGGCCTCTGCCCAGGAGGGCCCTCGCTGCTGCTTCTTGCACAGTGCTGCAGCAGCTGCGGCAGCTCATCCCAAATTGCCGAGCGGGTGCAGCAGCAGCAGCTGCTGCTGCAGCCGGGACGGCAGTAGTCGCAACGGCCACAGCTCCAACGACCACAGCTGCAACAGCAACAACTGCAGCAACTACAGGGGCAGCTGCAGCGGGAGCACCAAACCAGAGAGATGCAGCAGCAAGAACAGAAAGAGCAGGAGCGATAGGACCAGCGACAAGTAAACGAAAAGCAACTGCAGCAAAAGCAGCAGCAACAGCAGCAGCAGGTAGACGCTCTCCATAATGGAACAGACCCTCCCCTGATAAATTCGTCCAAAATGGAAAACGGAGGAGTCAGCTTCATTAGTAGTGACTCAGCAGCAGCAGCAGCTGCTGCTGCTGCTGCAGATGCTGAGATTGATACAATCAAAGCAGCGGCGAATTCAGCTGCAGCAGCAAAAGCAGCTGCAGCTGCGGGTACGAAGACAGATACAACAAACACAACTGCAACAGCAGCAGCAACAACAACAGCAGTATCAGCTTTCGCATCACAAGCAGTTGAGTCAAATGCTGCAACAGCAGCAGCACCAGCAGGAGCAGCAGTGGACTTCCACTTTCTCCCTGCTTCAAGCCCCGCCTTGCCTGCGCTGTGCAAAAGTGAAGAGGGGGCGTCATTGGAGTCTCTGGGGGCCACGACTTGCTGCTGTGGCAGCAGCAGAAGGTGCAGCAGCATCAGCAGCAGCAGCAGCAGGTGCTGCTGCTGCTACTTGCCCCCCCCACTACTGGTAAGCTGCTTGCACACTGCAGCAGCCGCTGCAGAGGTCAGAGCCTTCTTCTCCCGCTTTGGCCCCATACGCACTTTATGGCTTAACTCGGGGTCACCCCGTCCGCCCCATTTGACGGGGGCTCCCCCAATGACGGGGTCCCCCCCAGGACTGCTGCCAGAGGGGCTTGCTGGGGCCCCTTCGGGGGCCCCCTTGGGGGTCCCCTTGAAACCTCCCTTGGGGGCCCCCGTGGGGCCCCCCTTGAAAGCTCCCTTGGAAGCCTCCTTGGGGGGCACCTCGGGGGCTCCCTTGGGAGCCACCTTGAAGGCCCCCTTGGAGGCCCCAGTAAAGGCTGCATTGGGGGGCCTCTTGGGAACCTCCTTCGGGGGCCCCTTAGGAGGCCCCCTCAAGAGCATAAAGGCTTGTTCGCAACTCCACAATGGCAGTGGCATTGTATGGTATAAAGACATACAATCAACTCAAGCAGCACTTGGGGGGGGGCCCCCAGTGTTTGGGGGCCTCCCCTGTACTCTAGAGACAGCCAGTGCCTTTTTTAGGAGGGGGCCCCTGCTGCTGATGGAGGGGGGCCCCCTCACTGCAGGGTGTGCCTGGAGGCGCTGCAGCAGCTGCGGGTCAGTGGCTTTCGAGGCAGCAGCTGCTGCAGCAACAGCAGCGAGAGCAGCTGGAGCAGCAAAAGCAGCAACAGCAGCAGCAGCAGCAACAGCAGCAACAGCAGCAACAGCAGCAGCAATTGAAGCAACTGGAGCGAGCGCAGCTCATGCTTTGCTTGAGTGGCGGCTGGGAGAACAGCAGCTGCGCATTGCATGGGGAGCAAAGCACTTCGCCGTGATGCTGGAGTTTCCTTTCAGGGCCCTAGCGGGCAGAGTGCATCTCCTTGCTGCTGCTGCTGCTGCTCCTGCCGCTGCTGCCGCTAGTGCCGTTGAGACGCAGGAGGCGGACGGCTCCCAAAGCAGCAGCAGCAGCAGCAGCAAAAGCAGCAGAGACAAGAACAGCAGCAGCAACGACAAAGGATGCTTCTTGCTGCTTTGCCCGCAGCACCCACCCCGCGTCACCGTTATGGAGATGCAAGCAGCTAGCCAAGGCGACAATCGTTGCGGGGGCCCCTCTGGGGGCCCCCTTTGGGAACCTGCTGGGGGCCCCCCTGAGGACCATTCTGAAGTCCCCATTTGGAACCCCTCTGAGAACCCACAAGATGCAAAGACGTCTTCTGGTTCCCACTTAAATAAACACGGAAAGGAAGAAGCAGCTCCGGCGGCAGCAGAAGCTTCAGCTAGAGCAGCAGCAGCAGCCGCATCAGCAGAAGCTGCAGCAGCCTTGTTGCTGGCTGGAGACGAGGAGTTGCTGCCGCCATTCCGCTGCTTTCGATTCGGCGCAGGAGCTCCGGGGCCCCGCGGTAGCCTGGTGGTCTACTGTCCGCTGCTGCAGCGGCTGACGGACTGTCCCGACTTGCTGCTGCAGCTCCCGGCTGCTGCTGCTGCTGCAGCTTCTGTTGAAGACCCTACTGGCCAGTGTAGCGCAGCAGCAAAATGCCAAGCAGCAGGAGGCTGGCTGGAAGAGCTTCGAAGACAGGGCCTCCTGGCCACAACAGTGCCTCAAGGGCCCCTCCAGGGGCCCCCAGGAAACCCCCAAAAGGGGGCTCCCAGGGTTTTTGTGACCGCAGAGCCTCCAGGCAGCGCAGCACAGCTAAGACTCATTTCCGAAGCAGTGCTGCATAGGAATCCTTCTTTGCTGCGAAGCCTTCCCCTAGTGCAGGAAGTCAGCAAGCACTGGCTTGCTCAGCCTGTCGGTGAAAGAAACCCGCTCTGCGCCCACTGTCCTGCTGCTGCTGCTGCTGCAGCACGTGCAGCAGCAGTGGCAGCTGCTGCTGCAGCAGTGAATCCTGGAAGATCGAGCTGGATTGGGCAACCGGAGTGCGCCGCCGCGGGAGCAGGAGCGCCTGCTGCGCCACGTGCAGCAAATGCAGCAGCAGCAGCAGCAGCAACACCGCCAGAGGCCCTGCAACAGTGCGGCAAAGAGCCATCAACAGCCCCCTCTGCAGCCCCGCTGCAGGAGCAGCAGCAGCTAGGAAGTGGCTCAGCCGCCTCTGTGAGTTCTGCTGGTTGGCCTTTGTGGGCAGAGCTGCAGCAGCTCCTCTCCAAGGGCATCTTGCCAGCCCCCTGCCTATTTGAAGCTGCATCTTATGGGGCGCCTAGTGTGCCTGGGGGGCCCCAAGGGCCCCAAGAGGGCCCCTGCGGCTACCTTCCGGTTTGGAGTCCTCAAGAGCACTCTTCCGGGCTGCCCGGTTCGTGCTGCAGCCCCCTTAGTTGGCCCCCAGATGCCCCCCTGGCAGTGCCTGTGACTCGGGGGCCCCCTTTGGGGGCCCCCCGGCCACTTTGTATGGTTTTGGCTGATCCTGCAGAAGACGCCCAGAAGGTCCGCGAAGGGCTGAGAGCTTTGGCTGTAGAAGCAGCTGTGGGGTATTCACCTATTTGGGGTGTATCTCCAGCTCAGCGGCTTTGCGAATTTCTGCGGAATGAACAGTAAGTAGGGCTTGAAGGCCGGAGTGGCCTGGGGAGCAGGGAAGCAGGCACAGCTGCAGCAGCAGCAGCAGCAGCTGTATCCAGTGCTGCTTGTGAGTGTCGCATGTACTGCATGTAGGCAAATGCTGCTGCCGCCTTGTAATGGCTGCAGCAGTGAGACCATAGAGATCCTGCATCTGCAGCTGACGCCTTTGCGGGTGGTTTGCCTGGGCCTATTCACTGAAAAGTCAAGCCGGCTCACCCGCTGCTTTGCTCCTGCTGCTGCTGCTACTGCTGCTGCCTTCGCCAGAGTCTCTTTGGCTGAGGAGACTGGAGCGCGGCTTTACCTGCGAGACAAGGCGAGTGGCCTGGCTGCATGCTGCAGCTGCTGCCGCTCCTGCTGCCTTTACATAAGACCCTTAAAATCTCCTTGTTCTTCTTTTTGTTGATCCTTCATGCTTCTTCTTAATTGCTTTTGCTCCTTTTTATGCGCTTCGCGCTGCAGCTACTGATGGCTTCAACTGTGTGTTTATCCTCCTTTCTTTGGCGTGCGAAGTCTTTCCATGTGTTCACTTGAGTTTGTCTACTTTTCTTAAAATGTGCAAAAGTTGGATATTTGTAAGATTGAGGTGTCTGGTGCAGTTTCTGGACAGCCTGAATAAAAAAATGATATTAAAAGTAGTTGTATTCGATGATAAATGTTCTTCTTTTGGCTTCCTTGCTGCTTTCTCTTGTTTGCATTTGCTGCTACTTTCGCCTTTTCTGTTGCCCTTCTTGGCCGTCTTCAGCTATCTTGGACTACTTTTCAAATCTGGGCTTTCTTGCTGCATTTATGGGGCAATTCCAGTGCCTCTTTTGCACCTTTATGGTTCTTATTGAGGGCTCTTTTATTCTCTTTATATGGCCTTTACAGGGCTTCTTTTCGTTTTTGTTCTCTCCTTTTCTCCAGAAACACCCCGGGGTCTCAGACCGCTTTCTCTCCAAGTCCCTCACTGCCCGAATTTCTGCAGGCCTCAGCGCTGGCCATTTGCAATTTGCTGTTCTGGGCTTTTCTATGAACCAGCTCCGCAAAGGCAGCTACTGGGCAGTCAACACTCAAGGTCCCCCCAAGCCCTAAACCCTAAACCCTAAACCCTCGGCCAAACACTCTGCGGTAACAGTCGCACGTGCTAAACTTTAGCGCACTGGTGGCTACACTACTGCTGAACCATGTGCTCCTGCTGTGGCACATGAGGAAACATTTTTAGAAGACATCTTTAGAGTTGTTAGCTTAAGGGTGCAGGGCCTGGCTTTTGGGGTTTGGAGCGTCGTGCTAGGGTTAAGGGTTTAGGGTTAAGGTTTAGGGCGAAGTCTTGCGCATGCAGGGCCCCTAAGCCGTCAGCAGGTGCTGCAGCAGCTGGGGGTTGCCTCTGCTTCTCCCCCGGGACTCTTTAGCCGCCAGTTCGGCATTTGTGTCAGCAGCACCACACCGACATTGCGCATACCTACGCTGTCTATACACCTTGGCCCAGACATCACCTCCGACTCTGTGCTCCAAAGAAGTCAGCCGCAGCAGTTCAAACCCAAGAGCGGCCAGACTTTCTGCTTCACAGGTCAGACATGGCAGCAGCAGCCACCGTGCCTGCCAGCTGCTCCGGGGTGCTGCAGCAACTCAGGGGCTAACCTGCTGCTCCAGTTGCATTGGGGCAGTGGTCTCCACCTCTTGCTTCGGCTTGGCAGGAGGGCCTCCGGGGCCTCCGGGGCCCCCAGGGCCCCAGTTGCTGCCTCTCGCCGGAGCTTTACAGTGCCACTTTGCTGCTGTGCTTTTGCCCTTGATGCTCCTTGACTCTCTTTCATAGGCTCTGTATTCCCCTTTTCCCGACCTAGGCTTTCACCTGTGTCTGATCTTTGCTAACAGCTCTGCTGCAGCTCTCCCAAAACGGCTGCTTCCGTTGCTGCTGCTGCTGCTGCTACTGCAGAGGGCTGCGGCTACATGTCTGCGCGGCTTTGGAGGCGCCTGGGCGACGCTTTCCCCCAGCTGAGGCGGTGCAGCGCCGTGCAAATGCGCCTGGGAGGCCTCAAGGGGATGCTCGTGCTGCACCCGACCTTTCCCCCGGGGCTGCTGGAGAGGGGCCAAGACATAATGGCCCACGCGTCCATGGCCAAGTTTGCTGCAGCCGCGCATTTGCAGGTCCCCACAGGGCCCCGCGCTGCCAGTCTGCAGCAGCAGCAGCAGCAGCAGCAGCAGCCGCAGCAGTGTAGCAACTGCATGCGGCCGGTGCCGCTGCTGCAGCGCCCGCAGGCACTACCAGCCGCAGGCAGATCCACTGTAACGCTTTGCACCTATATTGGCTTTCTAAAATGCATGCAAACTTGCATGTGTCTTGCAGGATTTGGAGGTAAACGACCACTCAAGGCGACTAGCGGCTTTTCTGAACCACCAGGTAAGTAGAGGTGTCCGTACACCCCAGCCCCTAGCAGGGAAGCGCTAAGGGGGGCTCTTTTGCTGCTTCCTTTCCCCACATTTTGCTTCTTGTGTGCCAGCAGCTTCTTTCGAGATTTGTGCTTGCTTCTTAATACATGGCCGCAGACTTGAAAATACAAGGGCGTGGGCACATGCATGCAACTATGCCTTTGTGGGTGTTTGTGTACATGTACTTCGTCTTTATATGCTTCAAGATTCTTTTTTTCCTTGCTTCATGCTGACTGCTGTCTGTGTCCTGCTGCTGCTGCTGTCCTGCATTGCTGCTGCTGCTCACGCCCTCCGCCTTTTTCTGCTCCCTTTACTCTCAGGTCATTTTGCTGCTCGACTCTCGCGGGGTTCCATACAGCGCTTTTGCGGCGCTGCAGCAGCGCGCGCTGGACCTCTTGAGGGGCTCGGAGAGACAAAGTGAGAGCAGCAGGCCCCCGTCTCTTTGCAGCAGCAGCAGCGGCAGCTGCTGCTGCTGCTGCTGTAGCAGATGTACTGCTGCAGCATTGCATGGGCCATCAGCCGCGCGGCCCTCTGTAGGCATCCTGCATTCATCTGCCTGATCGCCTTTTGATCCTGTCTCTGTAAAATTTATGGCACCATTCTCTGACTGGCTGTGGCTGCTGCCGCTGCCGCCCCTGCTGCTGCTGCTTCTGCTGCTGTCAGGGACGTCGGCGCTGGCTCTGCTGCAGTGCGCCGAAACCGACCAAGACATCAAAGGCCCCGCTGTTCGGGCTGTGCTGAAGCTGCTGCAGAACTGCGGCTTCACCCTGCGGGAGCCTTTTCTTAGGAGCGTCTTGCAAGCAGCAGAGACCCACTGCCTCTTTCTGATGCAGCAGAAAGCCCGCATATTTGTCGAGGTGACCAAAGCATAGCAGCAACAGCAGCACCTGCAGCAGCAGCGGCAATACTAGCGCCAGCAGTAGTGTTCTTTTGGCACCGCATGCATGCAACTCCCCATGACCTGCAGCCCAGCCGCAGCTGTTGCTGCATTGACTACTGGGTCGCTACTCCCCACTTCAGCTTCTGCTGCTGCACTGCCGATCTGATGCTGTTTGCTGCCGCCGTTTGCTGCTGCTGCTGACGCAGAAAGGAGCCTACCTCTTCGGTGTAGCCGACCCAACCCAAACACTTCTTTATGATCATGGCTGGCGATGGGGGTCAAGTGCGCGCCGCTGCTGTGCAGGGCTGCCTGAGGTGTACGTACACCTCACGAGGTCAAGCCAGGCTCCTTGGGAGCTCTGCGGGACCAGCTCAGAGGGGCCTGAGCACTGCTACAGCAGCGCGTGCTGCAGCAGCGATGCCTGCAGCAGCAAATCCTGGTGCAACAGCAACCACTGCTGCAGCAGCGACTCGACACAACACCCCCGCACGCACAGGGTGGCCCTGCCAGTGCCCTGCGGTGCTGCAGCGCCTTACCAAAGCCCCAAATCGGAAGTGCTCTCAGGGGTCGTCGCCATTGTTAAGTCCCCTTGCATGCACCCGGGAGACATTCAGCTTTGTTACGCTGTAACTCAAACCCTAAACCACAAACCCTGCTTCACAAACCCTTATCACTAGCCTCCACAGCTGCTGTTCAGTGTTTGTGCTGCAGCACGGCACCCTCCGTGCATGCAGAAACTTGCTTCATTAGGCTTGCTTCTTGTACTCAAGGCCGTCATGGACGGCTTGGGAACTTGAATAACGTTTAGCTGCGTGCATTTTCACGCATGTACACGCTTTAGCATGCGTGGACACGCTTTTGCACGCATTCACCCGCTTTTGGACGCGGGTGCATGCATGTGCATGCGTATGCATGCATTTGCATGCGCTTGCATGCATTTTATTCATTTGCATGCGTTTGCATGCGTGTGAATGCGTCTGTGGGGCCGTCTGCGGTGTGTCCAGGTGGGCCCCGAGGAGCTACCTGCGGACTCGCCGCTGAGGGCCCCTTTGGAGCGGGCGCCGACTGCAGACGATCCCGATCCCAGCGCGCTGGCCCTGCGGGACCTTCTTGTCTTTCCCTGCCCCCCTCTGGGCCCCAACTTGGCTGCCGCTGATGGGGTTTGGCCTCCCCTCAATGTGCGGCACCCGGCGGTCAAGCGGTGAGCTGCATGCACAGGCGCGGGCGGGTTCCGCCTGCGCTGCTGTTGCATGTTGCTGCTGCGACACTAGCAGGTGCTGGTACAGCTGCCCTTGCGCCGGTTGCTGCTGCTGCATTTGCAGCTGCTGCTGCTGTTGCTGATGTGCGCCCGCCTCACTTTTCGTTTGTCCTGCTCTGCACTGGAATGCATTGCTGATGGGTTTGGGAAGGCGGCTGCTGCGGCTGTTGCTGTTGTTGCTGCTGCTGCTGCAGGGGGGGTGGACCAGGCTGCCACTACAGCTACCGCGACCTGCCCAACATGCTGTCAGGGGGAGACCTAGACGGCGACAAATATTGGGTGATATGGGAGCCCTTGTTAGTGCAGCCACTTTTGGAAAATTGGATTAAGGGTGCAGCTCCGGCCCCTGCAGCTGTGCACGAGCCAACCCCAGAATGTGTTGGTAAGGAGGCCCTCAGCTGCAGCAGCAGCAGCAGCACCGACAGCAGCAGCAGCAGCTCCTGCAGTGGCAGTGAAGCAGAAGGCGACACTGAGGACGAGCCATGGCCAGCAGATTCTCCAACAGCAGCAGAGAAAGAGGGAAAAATAGACGGGAGGCACGAAACTGCTTCGACAGCAGTAGCAGCAGAAGGAACAACAATAGCTTCACCAGCAACAACACCAACTGCAGCAGCAACGTCAACAGCAACAATGGACCCACAGGTGCCTTATACGATTGAGACTGATGAGCGACAGGGAGAGAAGCACACAGCTGCACTGCGCACGACAGCAGACCAGAGGCCAAGAGGAGCTGATGATGGGCTTCAACTTGAAATATTCCAGACGGAAACAGTTGCAGCACCAACGGCTGAAGCAGCAGAAAGAGCAGCAGCAGCAGCAGCGACAGCAGCAACAGCAGCAGCAGAAGCAGTAGTAGAAGCACAAGAAGAAGCAGAAATAGCAAATGCCGAGCAGCAGGAACAAAGCCTTGGAGGATATTCGACTCCCCGCTCCCTGGAGCCTCCTAGGAAGCAACAGCAGGCCTTGGATATTAAAAGGGCAAAACACGCAAGGCCGCAGAGCCCCACTGCAGCAACAACAGCAGCAGCAGCAGCAGCAGCCGGAGGGGCGGAGACGCAGGCTCTGGCCCGGTACCTGCTGAAGGTGCAGAGGCAGTGTCAGTTAGGCATCATTGCGAAGAGCCACTTGCGCTTCTGCCACTTGCCAGTTTGTTACTACACAGAGGACTGGAAAAGGGGCAAGGCGAGCAGCGAGGGGGCTTTGGCCCTGGCAGATCTTGCTGCTGCTGCAGTGGACGCCCCGAAGACGGGGAAGCAGGTGCTGCTGCGCAGCAGCCTGCGCTGCTTCCTCGAACCCCACTTCCTGGCCAGCCCAGACCACAGACAGGCAGAGTTTGCTGCAGTCAATCTCCGCAGCAGAACTAAAAGCTTTGTCTCCTGCAGCATTTTGGGCTGCCTCTACGACAGACTTGCCCTCATCTTGCCCCCGCCGAGGCCCTGCCTGGCGGCAGTGGCTCTCCGCCCGCCCCAAGGTGACCAGTGGACCTTCTGTGTGTTTGCTGCTTTTCTCTGGCAGTACAGCTCTCTTTGCATTCTCCCTGGCCCTTCCGCTGCTGCTACTCTGGGTCGCTGCTGCTGCAGCGGCTCTCTACAATGCTGCAGATTCATCCCCCACTGCTTCTGCTGCTGCTATTGTGGTAGCTGTGCATAAGAGTCTGTCTAAGCCGTCACTGTTGCTGCTGCTGCTGCTGCTGCGGCTCTCCGTAGGCAGCCCGGATCCGCGGCTGTTCTGCCCTGTGAGGGTCAAAACAGTCTGTGTGGGCTTTGAGTATCGGCCCGAGGCTTTGCTTCCCTACAAGGGAGAGAGCCGAATTTACTGTTTGCACATGGAAGTGGCTCTGCCCCCTCTACTAGTGGGTGGGGGCCCCCCGCCCCCCGGCAGCAGTCAAGACGGATTACCCCGCAGCATTCTTACTGCCCTGCATATCTCAGCGAAAAACTGCAGGGCCTGCATACGCACGCAGAGCCTCCCCCTCCCCAGCAGCAGCAGCAGCAGCAACAGCAATAGCGCCAGTAGCAGCAGCAGGTAAGTGTGCTTTGTGGCTCCATCTCTACGGGCTGCCTGTGTTGCTGCAGGCGGCGTGCCCCCCATGAACCCTTTACTTTCCACTATCACTTTTGTGGATTTTCCTCGTGTTATTTGCAGTGGCAGCTGCAGCGCCCGCAGCAGCAAGTGCAGCAGCAGCTCGAGTGAGACCGGATGCCTTGCAGGCAGATCGATAGCCGGAGCGCTTCCAGCGGCAGGAGGAGGAGCAGCGGCAACAGCAGCGCCAGCTGCTACTGCTGCCGCTACTGCTGCTGGAAGCTGCCTCCGAATCCCTGTTAGCAGCCCCAACGCGCAGCAGCATTCTCGGCCTTGCTGTGCTGTGCTGCACTCTGCTGCTGAAGCTTCTGCTTCGCTTCCCTATCCTCTCCTCTACTGTTCCCTTAGCTGCGACCTCGGGCTTGCTTTGAAGGATCCTCTGGCTGCATGTACTGAGGTGGAGCTAGGAGGCAAGGCTTTGGTTCTGCTGCTGCTGCCGCTTATGCTGGTGCTTCTGCTGCTGCTGCTGCTGCCGTTGCTTTGCAGCTGCTGCGTTTGTTTGTCCTCGTGCTGATTTTTCTGCCGATAAGGCTGCTGTGTTTGCGGCCCACTGTCTGCTGCTGCTGCTGCTGCATACTCTAGGGACTTCTTTCCCTCTTCATTGCGATGGTCTTGCCTGCGACGAGTTATGATTCCGGCATGCTTCTTGTTGCCCCTATGCAGTTCATATGTGCTGCTGCTGCTGCTGCAACTCTTGCTGCAGTTGCTCTGGAGTACGTTTTAGCTTCTACTGGGGAGGCTGCAGTCAGCCCCGCTGTCTTCGGCCGTCCCACAGTGCTGCTTCCTCCTCAGCTGTGGGGTCCCGATCGCTCTGCAGTGTACGTACACCTGCCAAGGCCTGCGGAGGACCTCCAGGTAGACAGCGCTTACAGGCAGTAACCGTTGCTGCTGCTGCTGCCGCCGCGTGCCCCCTTGCTGCTTTAGTTGCTGCTGCAACTGCTGCAGCTGCCGCTGCTGTGTGAACGCTTGTCCTGGCAAGGCCCGTGCAATTAGTCTTGTTGCCTTGGTAGCTGGTCATGCTGCTTCGTTTCATTCTGCTGCTGCACTGGGCGCTGGCGTTAGTGCTGCTGCTGCTTTGGCGCGCAGTAGAAGTTTTGCTGCTGCTACTGTTGCTGCTGCTGCTGGTGCCTCTTCTGCGGGGGCTGCCAATAGGGCTGCTTCTATTGCTCCTGCTGCATACATTCACAGTTAAACACGAAAGTTTTATTTTGTATTTGTTGACAGGCACTCCTTGAGGCTCTTAACAAGCAACTTCTGCTTCTGCTGCCGCCGCCTCATCCCCCTTCTCCGCCGCTGCAGCAGCTGACTCTGCTTCCAGGCAGCAGCCAGCTGCAGCACGCAGTGTACATTGGGACGCTCTCCAGCAGCAGCAGCAGTAGAAATGAATTGCTGTCTCCGATGTTTGACAGAGGCATTGGCACGGACTGCTGCTGTGTCCCTTCTGCTGCTGCCACAGAGGAGCCTCTGGCCCTCTTATCCCTCACCCCCCACGGAGCTGTTTGGGAGGACTGGCAAGAAGCCCCTTGGCTGCAGGAGCTGCAGACTGAGGATTTCCTGCTGCGCTGTCTCTCATTCAGCCCTTTCAAGGGCCCCTACAGCAGCAGCAACAACAGCAGCAGTAGCAGCAGCAGCAGCAAAAGTGGTGAGAGGAGTGGGGAGGAGCTGCTGCAGCAACTGACACGCCTGGCCAGTGCAGCAGTAGCAAGCCAGCAGGAAAAGGCGCTGCAGCTGCGCCCGCAGCTGAGGCCGCGCCTGGACTGCTGCAGGCCTCTTGTTGCTGCTGCTTATGCAGCTAAAAAGCCCTCGAAGAGGAGGCCTAGGAATTTCGTCGTGCTCGATGTGAGGCAGCGGATTGCTGCTACATGGGGCGTTTCAATGCTTTCTTTGCTGCTTCTCTTATCCTCTTAGTACCATTTGCATGCAAAGCCTCTGCTGCGGCTGCCTCGCTGCTGCTGCGCAGCAGCCTGAGCCTCTTGCTGCAGCTCGCTGGCTAGCTGAGTCTACATGTTTTTGAGTGTAGCGCTGCTGCCTTGCTGCTCGCTTCAGCTAGCTGGACCTTTTTTTGGTTGTCAGATTTTTGCTGCGTTTTCTGTGTCTGTTCTGCTGCCGTCCTTCAGCGCCCCCTGACAGGGCTGTGTCTTCGTCTGCTGCTGCTGCAGCTGCTGGCGAAACTGCCGGCCAGCAGCAATTCGGGCGCGAGGGTGCAGCAGCTGTGGCGGGCCCTGGGGGTGCAGCTGCACTTGCCTCTGTTAGGCCTTTCTGCCCCAGGCCAAAGGCCCCTGGGATCGACTTTGTACTCGATCTCAGCCCTGGCTGACGGCGCCATGGACGCTTTCGGCGTCAAGCTGCTGCTGCAGCACCACTGGAAGCACAGACGGCACCTGCTGCTGCAGCTGAACAACCAGCAGCTCCAGCAGCTGCAGCAGCAGCTGCAGCAGCAGCAGCGTCAGCCCCAGCAGCAGCGAGTCGCCCCGCAGGCAGCCATATGGGAAATCGTGCGACGAGCAGCATCACACATTGCTCCGTCACAAGAGAGAGAGGCAGCACTGCCAAAGGACATCATTTGCAGCAGCAGCAGCAGCAGCAGTAGCAGCAAACTCAGTAAGCTGAAAGCCATCCCACCACTCTCGCACAAACGAGAAAGCCTCCCAGAGCTCCCTGAGCACTTCTATGGCAGCAGTTGCTACCAGCTGCTGCTTACTGCATGGCTAGCTAGCCAGGCTGCTGCATGTGCAGCCAAGCAAACGGCCAGCTTTCCGGCCAGCAATCAATCTCGCTAGCCAGCTAGCTGTCTAGCTAGCTAGCTGACTAGCTATTTAGCATTCTAGTAAGCCGGCTGTCTGGCTAGCTATCTGTCTAGCGAGCTAGCTGGCTGTGCAGCTAGCTAGCTACTTGTGGCCAGTAGGCATCTAGCAAGATAGCAGTGTAGCCAAATTCCTATCGCTTCAGGCCTCGAGAAGGCAACCTGCCTCATTTGCCTCTTTCTCAGCTTATTGGCCCTTAGTATCTGCTTTGGTGTCTGCAAAGCCTAGGCTAGTTCGGCCAGTTTCGATAGTGCTGCGAAGTTCTGTTGCTGCTCAGGCCGGGCCACTTTGGCGTTCAGCAGCGCAGCTTCTGCTTCTTCATTCCTTCTGCAGCAGCAGCAGCAGCAAAACGGGGCCCCAGGGGGCCCTTTGCTGCTGCTGAGGCGGCTGCCGCTGCCCTTCGAGCTGAAAGTAAGCCCCCTGTGGCCGACCTGCCACTGGGCAGTTCGGCAGCAAGCGAAGGAGCTGCAGCAGCAGCTGGAGAGAGGTATGTCCGCCGGCGCTGCTGCACTAGCTGCTGCTGCAGCATAGCAGCTTCCCTTGCAGCTACGAGGCCCCAGAAGCAACACCGCAGCAGCAAACAGCAAGAGAGGCCGGAGCCCCAAATGCCGCCTCTTCTGTGTGGCCTCAATTTTGCTGTTTTCTCAGGAAGCAAGAAGACTCAAAAGCGCAGCATTGCAGAAGCAGAAGAGACAAGGAAAGCAGCAAAAGAAGATTTGTGGGGTTTGCAAAAGCCCGAAGCAGCAGACAGCTCAGCTCGCCCCCTCTCGCAGCTCCCCCTGTGGCACTTGAGGCGGCGAGGAATTGACAGCCAAAGTGACCTCCTCGAGCTGCTGCAGCAGCTGCACCAGGGGGCCCTCCCGCTGCCTTGCTTCGCAGCAAGTTCGGCCCCCCGCAGCACCGGCGCCGCAGTCTGTTCTGAGGGCACCTGCTGCAGCGGCGGGGAGGCCCCTTCAGGGTACTTCGAGGGGGCCCACCGCCAAGGTCCCCCCGAACTGGAGCTCGACCTAGACCTGATCTCGTGGTGCCCTGAACGGCTGCTGGAGTTCGGCGGGGAAGTGGGCAGGCTCAAGAAGGCGTGGGACACAAGACTGCAGCAGCTGCTGCTGCGCTTTGGAGTTCAAGATGAAGCTGCGCTGCTCTCGGGGCTCTGCGACAGTGAGGCCTCCCCCGCGCTCAGGTACATGGAGGGCTGGCAAGCAAAGGCAAGTTCTCAGAAGCGCTGCTGTGCTCTCCCACATATAACTAGCAATGTAGCTAGCTTTATAGCTAGCTATATAAGCAGCTATATAGGCAGCTAGCTAGCTAGCTAGCTAGCTAGCTAGCTAGCAAAATAGATAGATAGATGGATAGATAGATAAATAGATGGATAAATGGATAAAAAGATGGGAAACTGGACAGCTAGCTTTGAAGGCAGGCTAGCTGGCTAGCTACGCAGTTGTGTGGATGAGCAGCAGACGAGGAGGCTAGCTGCAGTTGTTTCTCAGTCCGTTTATTCTTTCACTGCACGCTGCATCCTGGACTTGGCCTCCTCCCATCCTAATATTTCTTGCTCTCATTCGCCACTTTTTGCCTTTTTTCTGCCTTTTCCTTTTACTTTCGTATCTATTCTGCCTTTTTCTTTTATCTTTTAATCTCATTTTCTGTCTCTAGGAAGTCTGCGCCTTCCAGATGCCTCCTGGGTCTTTTCTCTTGACTCTCCAGGTCTGCCTCTGTTGGCTCCAGCTCTACTGCGCGTGTGGGGTGTCTTTGTCTTTACCTTTTTGATTTATTTTTATTTTCATTCTCTTTTCTGGCCCCCCAGATGCGTCTCAGCATGGAGGCTCTTTGCAGCCACTTCTGGCCTCTGCGCTTCTTTGGAAAATCTCTAACAACCGACCAAAAACGAATTGTGGCAGTGACAGCCTACTACTTCTCTTACGTGTCCCAAGGGGCTCTCGAGGGCTTCTTGGCAGCAGCAGGGAGGCCCCCTAGCGGCCAGGGATGCCCTCTGCAGCAGAACCTGCAGGAGGGTTCCTCAGGGTCCTCCGCAGGGACCCCAGAGGCCTCCCCAGAACCCCTCGCAGGGCCCCCACTGCTCACGAGGAGCGAGCTCAGGGCCCTGGAGGCCCTGGGCATTCTGCCCTCGGCACAGTTGGGGGACTCTCCAGTGCACAGCAGCGGCGCAGCAGCAGACAGCAGCAGTGCAGCAGCAGAGAGCAGCAGCACAGCAGCAGACAGCTGCAGCACAATCGAGACGCCCAGGAGCCCGCAAGGACTCCTAGAGCAGCTCAACAAGGGGCCCCTCCAACACCCAAATGGCAGGCCCCAGGAGCCAGACAGCGCGGGGGACATTTCGGGGGCCCCCTGTGGGCCCCAGGCTACTCAGGGAGGAAGCTCGCTAGGAAACACTTTCCAGCCTGAGGAGCAGCAGCGTGAGCAGCAGCAGCAGCAACAGCAGCAGCAACAGCAAAGTCCGGGGCAGCAGCAGCACTTCTGTTCTTTTGCCTGGATGCTCTACCCCAACGAGCTTAAAGACATAAAGGCTCTCACGCTCGCCGCAGCCGCGCTCCATGAGCCCTAACTTCCCGCCCTACGAAGTGCTGCAGCCAGGCCCAGCTAGCCGCAGCTAGCTAGAGCTAACTGCGACTAACTCTAGCTAGCTCTAGCTAGCTGCGGCTGGCCCTGGCTAGCTGCGGCTAGCTCTAGCTAGCTGCGGCTAGCTCTAGCTAGCTGCGGCTAGCTCTAGCTAGCTGCGGCTAGCTCTAGCTAGCTGCGGCTAGCTCTAGCTAGCTGCGGCTAGCTCTAGCTAGCTGCGGCTAGCCCTAGCTAGCTGCGGCTAGCTCTAGCTAGCTGCGGCTAGCTCTAGCTAGCTGCGGCTAGCTCTGGCAATGAATTTGCATGCGTATAAAGCTCACGAACAATTCCAAAGTCTATATTTGAATAAGCTACTCTGCTTGTGTTGAGAATTCCTTCAATAGCTCCTGCAATTAATCCTTTTGCCTCTATTTCTCCAGCTTTTTTATGATGTTTTGCATGCATAATGTACTCCTCCAAGCAGCAAAGCTACATCGATGGGCCCTAGACGAACTTGAAAGGTAACAGAGCGAAGCCAGCCTAGCCACTCCTGCTAAATCAGCAGCCCATTTCTGTTTTCTGAGACAACGGTATAATAATTTCTCAGCAGAAAAGGGCTTTTTTGGGGCATTTATTTGCAAAGATCTCTATTCAAGCAGCTCCTGCTAGAGAAATGGCAGTCCCAGAGGGCCTATGGTAGTATCTATTTGCCTGTGCATAGGCACTCGAGGCAGTTTTTAAGCCAAACGATCTTTAATTGCCTTTTATGGATCTCTAATTTAAAAATCCGGACATAAAATGGACCGAAAAAGCCACGCGCGGGCCCCCCGACAGGAAGGGGGCCCCCGCCTCTAAGGGGCCCCTCTAGGGTATAGGTGCCCCGCTTGAAAGGTGGTCACTGCTCGCTGCAGGCGCTGCGGTGTCTTCCTTCGTACATGTTTTGTGTATAGGAGGACAGGAAAGGTTTATTTCATGTCCTTTTTTTTCCATTTTTGGGCTAATTAGGGGCTCTTCTGGGGCACCCGGAAACCCCGGGGGGCCCCGTGCTCCTTTTCTGATCCTCACCAGCAAACACATGCATTTTCACCCCGGGACTCACCTGCTGGGACCCTTGAGGCGTATTGGGGGCCCCCTTGCCCCCAAAAGGCCCTCAGGGACCCTGGGCAGTCTTGGGATCCCCCTGGGCCCCAGGGGGCCCACGGGGCCCCTGGGGACTAACGGGGGCCCCCTGGACCCCAGGGGCCCCACAGGGCCCCTGGCAGCCCTCGCTGAACTGCCCAGCGGCTCACAAGGGACTGCAGCAGCTTTTCTGCAGGCTGCTGCGGCATCACAACAACCCCACCCCCTGCGTCCTGTCCCACTACGTCTCCTGCGGGGCGGCGGCAACGGCGGAGGGGCTGCAGCAGCAGCAGAAGCAACAGCAGGAGCAGCAGCTCGAGCTCCACAGGGGCCTTGGGGGCCCCCGCAGTCGCCCCATCATGAATTAGTTTTCTGGCATTCGCGGCGTTCTGTTCCGCCTAGACTGCGCTGCGCAATGCACTACAACAGCAGCAGCAGCAGCAGCAGCAACAGTAGCGCCTGCTGCTGCTGCTGCAGCGCGAGCAGACTCTGCACCGCCTCCCAGACGGCCCCGCTGCACTTATCGCAGCAGCAGCGCCAGTTTGCCTCAACAGCAAAAGCAGCAGCAAAAAAGAGACAGAAGGAACTCCTCAAAAGACGCCGGAATTGGCAGCCCCCTAAGGTCCCCCAGTGAGCTCCAGGAAGCTGTTGCACCCTAGGGTTTAGGGTTTAGGGTTTAGACTTTCGGGCTAAGAGCCAAAGGCTTGGTCCCCGCTATTTTTCAGTAATGCTAGTGCTGCAGGCGGAAGACCTAGGGTTTAGGGTTTAGTGCTTAGGGTTTGCAGTGCAGGGCTTAGTCCTCGTGGCTAAGTTTAGGGTTTAGGGTTCAGGGTTCGTGTTTGCTGCCAGACGCTATCTGAGGGAAGAAGGAGATGCAGCAGGCCCCAAGAACCCCCGGCTTAGGCCGGGGGGTCCCTCTGGGGACTGGGGGCCCCCAGCACCAGCTGGGGGGCCCCACAAGCTGCTGGACTTGGAGGGTCCTGGGGGGCCTCCCGAGGCCTCTGTTTCAGAAATGCGTTTTTTGGAGAGACGTAGAAAGCCCCATGAGGTCAGCACCCAAACCCTAAACCCTAAACCCTAAACCCTGGGTGTCTGGGCCCAGAAGAGATGCCCGCTAAAGTGGACATTACACTCTCCCATGCCGAGCGAAGCACCCCTGCTGCTGCTGGTTCTGCTGCTGCTGCTCCTGCAGTATGCACTGGAGAGGAAGCACGCACAGCGCTCAGAAGAGTCTGAGGAGGGAAGCCCCGTAAGAAGCATATTTCAAGCCTAAATCCTAAACCCTAAACCCTAAACCCTAAGTCCTACAGTGCATGAATAGCGTTGGCGTCCTGTTCAGATATTGGACCCAATAATTGAGCGCATGCTGCAGCGGCACCAACAGCAGCAGCAGCAGCAGCAGCGGCAACAGCAGCAGCAGCAACAACAGCAGCAGCAGCAGCCGCAGCGCGGACGCCTGCAGGATTGCGGACATGAAGCATTTGCACCTTCTGTGCCGCTAAAGCTCGTGCTGCTGCTGCTCCTGCATCTTTGCCCATGCCTGACTGTGCTGCTGTTTTTGCTGCTGCTGCTGCTGCTGTGTGGCTCGCAGCACCAGTGGAAAGAAGCGCCGCTGCTGCCTCTGGCGGAGGCGGTTCCGTCATTGAAGAGGGAAGACCTGGAGTGAGTGCCTGCAGCAGTTTCCATTTGCTGCTGATCTTTGAAATTAAATTGCCAAAACCTTTTTATTTTATATTTTTAAATTAAATAAAGTAATTTTAATTCAAATTCCTTCTCTATTGCCCCTATTCTCTGCTGCCGCTGGCGCTGCAGGCAAATGCGTCCAGCAACTGCGGCGGCCCCCAAAAGCTTTGGGGTGTTGGGGGTTTATAAGGCGACGGAGCGAGACTACTACAGGCGATTCTTCAGAGACAGAGACAGAGCTCTGGATGGTCAGCAGCAGCCTGGTGCTGCTGCTGCTGCTGGGGCAGCTGATGGTGTTGCTGTTGCTGCTGCTGGGGCAGCTGCTGCTGCGGCGGTTGGTGCTGCTGTTGCTGATGCTGTTGCTGCTGCCAGGGCAGCTGCTGCTGCGGCTACTGGTGCTGTGGTGCTGCTGCTGCTGCATCTGGGAGGCGTGAGACTGAGTGCTAGAGTCTGGGCTGCTCCTGCGACCATCGATGGGGCGACTGCAGCTGCTGCTGCTGCTGTTGCTAGGGCTTTCACAAGTGCTCACACAGCAAGCGTTGCTGCAGCAGATGTGGCTGGCGGTTGCGGTGGTGCTGCTGCTGCTGCTGCCAAGGCTAGTGCTGGATCACCAGTGCCGGCCTTCTGCTGTAAATGATACTCTCTGGTGCTGCAGTAGCTGCAGGATCTGTAGTACTTCCGGGCCTGCAGTGGCACAGAAGCAACAGCAGCAACGCCTGCAGCAGCAAAAGCACCAGCAGCAGCGACAACAGTGCACTAACACTACAACACTGTGCTTCGTGGCCGCACAAACCTGGGAGAATTCTGAGCTGTGTTTTCCGCAGGGAAGCTCCATGAGCTGCAGCAGCTACAGCAGCAGCAGCAAAAACAGGAGCTGCTGCAGCAGGCCACGGCACGCAGAAAGCGGTACATCCCGCCCAAGGAGTACTGGTGGGCCTTTCTCAACAGCCACGGATAAGGGTTTAGGGTTTTAAATTCAAAATGCAGTAATAACTCCCAGTGGGGGGTTATATTCAATGGTCTAGGGTCGAGGACCAAAGGCTGGGCGCTGCGGGGCCGAAGAAAAGCTGAGTTCTGCGCGCGACGCTTGGACTTCAGGGTTTAGGGTTTAGGGTTTAGGGTTCAGGGTTAAGGGTTTGTTACGCAGGTACTCGGGGCGCCACGAGCCCCCCACTGCCCTCACGGCTGCAGCGTTGGGAGCGCGAGACCTCAAGTTTGTTCTTATGCGGGAAGCGCGGCGCATTCGAATGGGTGAGGCTTTGGGCTGGCCGCGGTGACCACCGGGTGCGCAGCAGCAGACCAGTGGTCACCTGTGCTGCAGCAGCAGCGTTAGAATTGGGGGGCTCCAAAGGGAGCCCCAAGGCATAGAGAGATTTTCTCCTTCCTTTGCTGCCACCAGAGGCTTTTTCTAAAGATATTAAAAACAGAGCTCCGCAGCAGCAGATCTAGACAGCCCCAGGGAATGATAAAATGGTGAAGCAGAGGCAGCAATGCGACGAAAAAGAAATGCCAATGAGCGGCGACAAGGCACTATACACCTGCTGCTCCAGGTGCTGCAGCAGCAGCTGCTGCTGGTGCTGCTGTTGTTGCTGGCGTTGGGTCCGTTTTCGTGTGTCAGTTGACTCGATGCAGGGGCTCCGATTGCTCCTGCTGCTCTTGCTGCTGCTGCAGGGGCTCTTGCTGCTCCTGCTGCTCTTGCGGCTGCTGCAAAGGCTGCTATTGCTGCTGCTGCTTGTGCTGCAGGTGGGGAGTTTGACTTGGACGTGTGGGAAGCTCTTGAGAGCCGAGCAGCTGCCATTTGCCGCGACAGCCGAAATGCCTCTGCGCGGTCACTCCTCAGAATGCTGCAGGCTTTTGCTGCAGTGCAGCTGCCGCTGAAGCAAACTCACCTAGAGGACTTCATGAGGTGCTCAATCTGGGGCTGCTGCTGCGCAGGCTGCTGCTATTTTCCAGGCTGGGTCTGCTGCTGCTGCTGCTCCTGATGCTCGTGCTGCTGCGGAGCCAGAAAAAGCTGTGCTGCTAATGCGGCTGTCACTGCTGGCGAACTCGCGGCCGCAGCTGGTGTTCGCTGAAGGGCTGCTGTTGTTGCTGCTGCTGCTGTTTCTTCTGCTCCTGCGTCGGCTCCTTCCTAGCACCCTTTAGGCGTATAGTGAAGTGTACCGACGAAAGCTAGACGGAGTTAATGTGGGCAGTGGCTGTTCTGGTTGCTCCCTTTAGTGCAGTAGCAGCAGCGACATCAGCAACAGCAGCAGCAGCAGCAGGGATTCGAGCAACTGCAGCAGGGAAGGACACAGAGCGTGCTGGAGGCGTGCAGGGCTATCGCAAAGAGACAGGCAGAAATGCGCCCCGAGAATTATGTTCACCTGTTCCAGGCAAGTGCCGCTGGAGCTGCTGCTGCTGCTGCTGTGCTGCCTCTGCTACTGCGGTTGTGTTGCTGCTGCTGCACATGCGCTTTTTTTGCCGGCGCTGCTGTTCTTGTTCGCTTTTCTCTGCCTTTGTGAAATCTGCCATTTCTCTCTGTGCAGTGCTGCATTGCCAAGAGCTGATAGCTCAGAGCTTTCAGTGGGAATTTTGGGGTTTAAGGTTTAGGGTTTAGGGTTTAGGGTTTAGGGTTTGGGGTTTTAGTTTACCTACAGGCCCTAGCACGGCTGCGTCAGCGGCACCGCATTTGCATTCTCGGGTTGCAGGAGATGTTGCTTTCTTGGGCTGTTCTGCGGAACAACTTTTTAATAAAAGTAAAGTAGACACTACAAGTAAAAAGCACACTTAGGATTTAGCTGAAAGAGTATCCAGAGGCCTTTTCGGGGGCCCCGGCAGTACAGGCCGAGGGTTTAGGGCTTAGCGCGGGAGTCTCAGGGTTCAGGGCCCAGGGTTTAGCACGGAAGGTCTATGGTTACGGGTTTAGGGTTTAGGGTTTAGGATTTAGGATTTGCGCATTAGGCGGCGAACTCCCTGAGCAAACTGGACCTGGCGACCCACGTCTTAGTAACTCCCCTCAGGCTCACGCTAGCCAGCCGCATTCCCGCGTTCACAGGTTAGTCTTTTGCTGCAGCAACAGCAGCAGCAGCAGCAGCAACTCATGTAACGCTGACGGCAGTTACGGCAGCAGCAGCAGCAGCAGTAGCAGCAGCGTGCGTGAGTGGCTTCGGTGCCTGCGCAGCAACGAACTGCCGGTCTGTTAAGTGGGTCACGGGGGTTTCATTCTTTTCTTCTGCAATGCTGGTGGACTTTTTGAACTGCGCGGCGAGGCAAGAGAAAAAACATTCGCTGCAGAGGCACTCCAGGGACCTGCAGCTCATGGAGCTGTATCTCAGGTGCTGCTGCTGTTGCTGCTGCTTTTGCTGTTGTTCCTGTAACTGCTGCTGCTGCTGCTGCTGTTACTGATGTTGTCGCTGCTAATGGTGTTACAGCCAGGAAAGTTCCTGTAGCCGGCGCTGCAGGCGTTCTTCCTCCAGGTGTTGTTGCGGTTGGTGCTGCTGGTGCTGCTGCTGTTGCACTTGTTAATAACGCTGCTGGTGTTGCTGCTGCTGCTGCAGAAGTATTTGCTGCTAGCGATGTCGCCTTGCTGCCGCTATGATGCTCGCGCGGCAGTAGCTTCGTGTAAAGCATGGCGTGGCTGCTTTCGCGCCAGAGCCTTTGCTGCTGCTGCTGCGCCCGCTGCTGCTGCTGCAGAATACAGAAGCCCGAGGTGTACGAGCAGCTTGATATCGAAACCCAGTACTTTTTAGAGGTCATTCGCAACGCCAGCACTGCCAGTGCGTCTGCGCGCACACGGATGCCTGCTGAGGGTTTAGGGTTTAGCGTTTAGTGCTTAGGGTTAAGGGTCCAGGAATTGGATCCAGTGGCTCCTCTGTTGCATTTTAGGTGTGGCATGTGATGCGTAGGGCAGCGACCTGGTGCAGAGCGCAGGATGCAGGCTTCAGAGTTTCGGGTTTCGCGTTTAGGGTTTAGGGTTTAGGCCGAGAGCCCCAGGTTGAGGGTTTGCACGGCTGGAATTTCTGTGTTTGTTTCGCAGTGTTTAGCGACTGCAGCGACACCGAAGAAGACGAGGAGGGCGTGGAGGATTTCGCAGCAGCTGAGGTGCCCTCTTGGGGTGTATGTACACCCCGAGACGCGCCGGGCGAGGGGCCCCGCTCTGGCCCCACACCCCACAAAGTTGCCTTCCGAAGCGAAATCGAGGCAGATGCCTTTTTTACCCCTGGGGAGAGGGGCCCTCCCGGCGGATTGGGCGGCTTGGGGGCCCCTACAGGGGCCCCCGGCCCCGCGGGCAGTGGCTGCGAAGGAGAGCTGAGCTGCAGCAAAGTTGAAGTTGCTGCTGCGACGGCTGGCGCTGCTGCAGGGCCCCACGAGGGGCCCCCTGCTGCCTTCAGCAGTGCGCTGCATGCAGACATTAGTAGAGTTCTGAACTTAATGGAAGTGGTCCATTTCAACTCCGCTGTGGCCGGTGAGCGTCATCCCCGCCTGAGTGCTGCTGCTGGAGCTGTGTCTGCTGCTGGCTCTCCTGCTGTTTTGCTGCTGCTGCTGCAGCTGCATCTGCTGTGCGACCGCTCCTCTGGGCGCTGCTACTGCTGCTGTTTTGCCGCTACAGCTGCTTCTGCGGCAAGGGCTACTCCTCTTGGAGCTGCCGTTGCTGCTATTTTCCTGTTGCAGTTGTTGCTGCAGCTGCTTCCGCTGCGGGAGCCGTTCCTCTTGGCAGCCTCTTTTGAGTGTATCTTTCGTTCTTCTCTGCACTGATTTCGGCTCTCCGTCGTTCCTATTTGATTCATTTCCTTCCTAATTGCCATTATTGTTTATTTATCTTCATTTTTATTTCTTCCGCGAAAATTTCTGCAGGGCCATTCAAAACCGACTGCTACTTGCCTTCGAAAAGACTTCTGATTGAAGGAGTGCCTTCTTATCAGCTCTACGCCAACACCCACACGCCCACAGCCGCCAGCAAGCTGTAGGAGTGCTGCCTCAAAATATTAAGCCTTTCGCTTATGTTGTAGATATATATATATTATTTCTAAACATTACGCATATTATATATACTATTTAAGTATATGTTTTTATATAATATTATATACATATGTATGTATGTATGTATATATGTTATATATGTATAGTGGGGGCTGCTTATAGATCTCAAGCACTTTCCTTTATTTGGTATATGTATATATATATATATATTACGTTTATGTATATAAATATATATATATATATACATATTTATACATGTAGGACTGCCTATAAGATAAGACTGAGTGCAGCCGCTGCTGCAGCCGGGGTGCTGCCTAAGCTGCTTGGGCGCTGCAGGCGGCATGAACTTCTTGCTGGAATGGGTTTTTCTGTGCTGCTGATTCACCAGCAGCACTGGCTTAACTTGAACTCCGATGAAGACAAGATGCGTTTCCTGCTGCAGCTGCTGCCAGCTGGAACCTGTGCTGCTGCCACGGCACAGAAGTGAGAGAACCCCGTGAGTGGGTGGCTGGCCGCAGCAGCAGCTGCATTTGCAGCAGCAGCTGCTGCTGCTGCGGCACACCTCGTAAGCAGCAGCTGCTGCTGCTGTTGCCGCTTCCAGCTGCAGCGGGGGAGATGATTGTATTGGCGACTGGGGGAATTGCAGGGGCTCTCTTTGCGCACCCTGAAAGCTTCTGTAGTATCTCTGTAAAGCAAAACTTCACTGCCTATTTGGCCTTCAGTTGCTTAGCTAGAAAGGCTATTTTGAGGCTCTTTGGAAGCAAACTCTAGAGGGACCTGCGGCCAACAGGAAATGCCCTGGCGAACCTCGTGGCTCTGTTTCGAGGCAAAAGAGCCACGGACAAAAGCTGCTGCTGGAGAAGGGCTATTGGGGTGCCGCTGCTTACCATTTCGCCGTGACCACAGGACCCAGTGGGTCCGGCAGCAGACAGCAGCAGCAACAGTCCAGTGTAGACTCTAGTTCGCTGAGAGGCACGCACAATGCAGCAGCTACACTTTGTGCCGCCTAGCTGTCCTTCCACCGCAAACACAGAGCTGCATGTGCATGCATGCACAGATGCTGCTGTTGCTGCTTCTACTGCTGCTGCTGCTGGGGGAGTTGCAGGGCCCCTCCTGCTGGTGAATCAAGGACACTTGAACAGCCGTAACAGAAGAAGCGCCGAACGCTGGTGTTGCTGCTGCTGCTGCTGCTCTACAGGCACCCAGACACTGCGCTACAGGTGTACTGGTGAACTGTTGAATATCCTTTCAGGTGTCGTTTCTTGCGCAGCCTCGTCTGCCTATCCACAGTTACCACCATATATGCACTTATTTATTTACGCTGGCATAAAACGGAATCCTCCAGTGTAATATTCGAGTCAAGATCCGCAGTGGGCGGGTGGGCAAGCCTTAGGGTCTGCCGACAGCTGTCTTCGTTGCTGAAAGCAGCTGTCTCTGGAGCAGTGTGACTCAATTAGAGTTTATTTCGATAATCCTTCTTCATAGTTTTTGCTACACGACGTGTTCCGTGGCCTTTGGCCGCGAGATCAGCGCCGCAGCTTCCCCCTGCAGCCGATGAGCGCGGGCCCCCCCCGGCCACACAGCGTTTTTTTTGGGGCCCCCCGCTGAAGGTCCTTCTGGGATTTCGTAAAGAAACGCAATTTGTTTTGACATTTTGCCTCTTTCTTTGAGAAAGGGTCGCATGCAGCCGCCGCCGACCGCCGCCCACCCTGAACTGAACGCCTGCAGCGTGGAAGCTGAACGAGACGGCTCTGCGGCCGGGCGCGACGGCGCTGGGCCATTTCTACTGAATTTTAGAGCCCCACAACATCAGAGAGAGCTTTTTAACTGCCTCTCGTGAAGCCTGGGGGCTTAAGATGGACGGCGCGGCAGCAGCAGCAACGCCTCAGTCTTCTCCGTCTAGCACGCGCGCAGCTGAAAAGGAGGGCCGTGCTGCACGTCCTCAGCCGCAGCTGCTGCAGCAGCAGCAACTGCAGCAGCAGCCGCAGCATTTTCCGCCGCCGACGCCGCTAGCTTCCCCCAGTTCTGCGTCGCTTGCTGCTGCAGTTGTGGCTCCGCCGCAGACGCACGAAGTGAGCAGCACCGGCGTGGCGCTGCTGCACCAAGAGCTGCTGCTGTACACTTTGCGGCGCTGCAGCCCGGTATACAGGGCTTCCGATGGGCCAGCGGAAGCAGCATCAGCTCGCGGCCGTCCATCTTCCGCCACCTGCGCGTCGGGCGCAGCAGCAGCAGCAGCAGCAGCAGCGGCGGCAGCGGCGCTGCCGCTGCTGCAGAGCAGCGGCTACCGCGTGGGCAGCCGCGTCGCCGAGCGCCTGACCCTCAAGTGCTGCCGCATGCCCGAGCAGCGCGAGTGCGTCAAATTTGTCTGCAAAGATCTTTGGCATTTTTTGTTTCAAAAGCAAGCTGACAGGCTGCAGACAAACAGGCGGGGGGGCTACGTGGTGCACGACGCGAGCCTGCCTTGGCTGCGCCGCGTGCACCCGCTGCCGCCGCCCGCAGCAGCAGCAGCAGCAGCAGCAGCAGCAGCGACGGCCCCCGGGAGCGCCCCCGAGGCGCTGCTGCTGCAGCAGCACGAGGACGAACTCCGCAGAGCTGCTGCTACGCAGCCTCAGCTCCACGTGGCCTTCGTCTGTGGGGCCATTCGGGGGGCCCTCGCAGCCCTGGGCCTCGAGTGCACTGTCACAGCCGAAGTCCCAAGGCCCCCCAGCTGCGCCTTCCAGATACGCATATCTTCGTAGCAGCAGCAGCAGCAGCAGCGGCAGCAGCAGCAGCAGCAGCGGCAGCAGCTGTGGCGGTGTAGAGGCAGCGAAACTAGCAGCAGCAGCAGCAGAATTAGCAGCAGAAGCAGCAGCAGAAGTAGAAGCAGCAGTAGCAGCAGCAGCAGCAGGATGGCGCGCTGCGGGCGCTGCGTGGCGATGGCTGCTGAAGTGTTTGACTCCGTGCGGGATTTGCAAGACCCGGAATTCCCCACAGAGACTTTGGAGGAGCTGCAGGTGGTGCTTCCGGAGTTGATAGTGGTGCGGTGCACGGGTACTTGCCGCATCCACAGCAGCAGCAGCAGCAGCAGCGGCAGCAGCAGCAGCAGTGGCGGCGGCTACACGGACCCGTGGGCAGAGGAGGACTGCGTCAACTGCTGCAGCCGCTGCAGCAGTTCCGCCGACGGCTGCTGCAGCGACAGCAACAACAGCTGGACGGCCATCAGCAGCAGTGAGGTCAGCAGCAGCAGCGGCAGCAGCAGCGGGAGCAGCAGCAGTGACAGCAGCAGCAGCAGCACGGAGGGGGCGGTGCAGGGGTGCACGCCGGAGTGCCGCTGCTGCTGCATTGTGGTGTCTGTACACCCCACGAGCCCCCGCTGCGCCTTTGCTGCTGTCCTGGGCCTTCTGGTAAGGGCGAGGCTGGCTCTGGACTTTGCTGCAGCAGATGCAGCAGCTCTTGCCCTCAACGGGGGCTACGACAGCTTCGGAGCAGCAGCAGCAGCAGCAGCAGGCGAAGCAGCAGCAGCAGCAGGCGAAGCAGCGGCAGCAAGGACAGCAACAGCAGCAGCAGCAGCAATGAACGCCTGGGGGACCCTGGACTGTGCTGTTGCTCGGGTGTCGCTGTGGGTGCGGGTCTGCGGCCACGAGAGCAGCGCAGCAATTGCGAAGCAGCTAAATGACAAAGAAAGAGTTTTTGCTGCTCTCACCATTCCAGCAATCCGGCAGACAGTGCTGCAGGGCCTGCAGCTAGAGGAGCTGTAGCGGCGCTGCTGCTGCTGCTTGCTGCAGCTTCTTGCTGCTGCTGCTTGCTGCGGTTCTGCTGCTGCTGCTCTGCTGTTGTTGCTCTGCGGCGGTGGCAGCGCTGGCTGCGCCTGGGACGGGCAGGCTGCGCTGGACGCCAGAGCTGCCGCTGCAGCAGGAGCAAAGTCTGCTGCTGCTCTCGCTGCTGCTGGTGCAGCTGGAGCTAATGCTAGTGCTGTGACTGCTGCTCCAGCTGCAGAAGCTGTGGGCTCGCCAGCTGCTGCTGGCAGCAGTTTCCTAGCAGACTAAGAGCGAACACTTTGCTGCAGCTAAAGAGCAGCACAGCAAAGATGAAACGCACAAGATAGTTCAGTGCGCAGCTGTGTGTAGTGCTGTAGCTTGCTGCAGGCGTCTGGCGGGCATGTGTTTTTGTGGGGGTTCCTCATTTCCTAGGAACAAATTTAATAAAAGTTTTTATAGTTTGGAAAGTAGATCTATTTGTAAGTAGTTATAAATGACCCGGTGGTGGTACGACGCAGACGCAGGAACTGCTGCGCAGTTGCGCCTTCGTTTGGGGTGTTGGAAGTCTGGTATCCCAGAGAATCTCCTGGACCGCTGCATGCGCAATTTTTGTTTCTTCATATCAGTTATTTTATTTGTTTTGCGTTTTTACGTTTCAAGTGCGTTGCTTGCTGCATGCGGTGGCAGTCGGGGGCCTCGGGGCCCTCAGCCCCGCGCTGGCTTCTGCTGCTGCGCTCATCTGCAGCCTGCAGCTAAAGGAAATGGATAAGAGACAGATAAAGTGTTAAAATAACTCTCAAGAACAAATTACACTCGACGCTAACACCACAGAGAGCAGCGTGGGGACCCCCCATCCCTCCCGCATGCAGCAGCAGCTGGGGGATCGGGTAAAGCGTTTGCCGCTGCTGCGTTCTTTCTGCGGATTTTGAGGTTTTTGCTTCAACTCCAAATATTTATTTTAGTTTTGGGGACTTCTGAGTCGGTAGGCGGCTCTCTTTGAAGGGCCCTTCTGGGGGCCCTGGCGATTGGGTGTGAGTCTGCTGCTGCTGCAGCAGCAGCAGCAGCAGCAAGAACAGCAGCAGGAGCCGGAGCGGCAGCAGCAGCAGCGACCAGTTGGCGGCGGCAGGCTCGTCGCCCGCGTGCCGCCTACAATGTTCCCCCCGGCCGCTGCTGCGGGCGGCGTCGGCGCAAACAGCAGCAGCAGCAGCAGCAGCAGCGGGCGGCACTTTGTGAATCCGCTGGCGTTTCTGCGGGCGGCGTACGAAGACGGCCCCGAGGGCTGCGAGCTGCAGCAAGTGGGGGGCGAGGAGCGGCTGGTGCTGCTGCAGCGGAACTGCTACATCAGTGCAGCAGCAGCTTCGGGGCTGGAGAGCCGCAAGCGAGAGGCCTACACTGTTGCGGACTTGTGGCTGCTGCTGTCGACTCCGAAGGACTCTTACAACTATGTGGCGATAACGGAGAAGGGCCACAAGTACATAAACGTGTTGGAGCGGGCCAAGATCCAAAGCGCGATAGCTGCGCCCTTGCCCCGTGCTGCTGCTGCAGCAGACGCTGCTGCTGCTGCTGCTGCTGCCGCGCGCCCCGGCACCCACCCGCCCTCCGCTGCTGCTGCTGCTGCTAGCGCCCAGGAAACTGCTGCAGCAGAAGCAGCAGCGCTCCTCGCTGCGCGCAAGCAGGAGGTCTTTGCTGTTGACCCGCTGCTGCCGGTGCGAGTGCCTGGAGAAGACGATGCCCGGGGCGCCCAGGCAGCAGCAGCAGCAGCTGCTGCTGCTGCAGCACAGCAAATCAAGTGCCACTGGCCGCTGCCCCAGTGGTTCGAGGGAGAGCCAGACCTGCCGCTGTGGGGCGCCCTCGAGGACGAAGCCGCAGCAGCAGAGTCCTCCTCCACCAGCTCCAGCAGCAGCAAGAGCAGCAGCAGCAGCAGCAGCAGCAACGTGAGTCTGCTGCGGCTGCAGCGACCGCTGCACCCGCGTGCTGCTGGTGTGCTGATTCGCGGCGTCTCTTTTGCTGAAATTTTGGGAGATTTGGCAGCTATTGAAAAAGCCCGGCGGGCCAAGAGGCCCCTCGATGCATTTTGTTTCAAGACCTTCACCCCCTACAAGCCTGCTGCTGCTGCTGCTGCTGCTGCTGGCACTACTGCTGCAGCAGCAGCGGAACCCGCAGCAGCAGCGACGGCCGCGAGGCCGCAGCAGCAAAGAAAACTCGGGCCAACGGCACTCATGGGGGCGCCCAGAGCCCCACCATGTAAGTCGCAGCTGCTGCTGCTGTTGCTGCGGCTGCTGTTGCTGCTTTCTCTGTTGCGACTGCTGCACAAAGCTCGCTGGCTTGTCTGTCTCTGCGGCTGCTGCTGCTGCAGCAACGCCGCGCTTCTGCGTGCTTGATGAGGTGTGCGTACACCTGAAGCGGCGGCCGCTGCTGCTGCTGCCCTCCTTAGCAGCAGCAGGTTCTGGCTGTCTGCTGACGAAAGACAATGCCAAGGCTTTCTTGGAGGGAGGGGCATTTGTTGACCCCAGACAGGCCCACAGAGAAGCAGCAGCAGGTCTGCTGCTGCTGCTGCTGCTGCTGCTGCTTTTAGGCGTGCTGCGGTTTACGGTTCCTCATTTGCTAGCGTTGCTGTTGCCCTTGCTCCCACTGCTGCTCGTGCTGCTGCTGTTGCTGCTTGTGCAGCTTTATGCGCTCGCTGCAGGAGTTTTTCTGCTGCTGCTTCTGCTGCTGCTGCTGCTGCTGCTGCTGCTGCTGCTGCTTGCCTTGGTGCACCGGTGTTTGTTATCTAGACTTGCCGCAGAGCAGCGCCCTCTGGTTTGTGGGCTGCTGCGCGCCGTTTGCTGCTGCTTCTGCTGCTGCTGGAGCTGCTGCGTCGCTGCGTGCATGTGCGTCTGCTGCTGCTGCTGCTGCTGCTGCAGCCGGCTTTCCAACCCCTGCGGAAGGCCTTTCGATTCGGCGGCGCATCCGCAACCGCGAGTACACCTTCAAGGCCATGGAGTGTACGTACACCCCAAAGTTCACCCCTCAAGACTGGGCAGCAGTTGTGGGCGTCTTTTTGGGCGGCGGCAGCGCAGAAAAAACCAAATGGCAATTCAATGGCTGGCCCTTCAGGGGCTGGGTCGAGCTGTTCCAGTCCTACAGGTCTGCTGCTCCTGCTCTTGCTCCTGCTGTTCCTGCTGCTGCTGCTCCTGCTGGTGCTCCTGCTGCTCCTGCTGCTGCTCCTGCTGCTCCTGCTCCTGCTGCTAGTGCTGCTGCTAGTGCTGCTGCTGCTACTGCTACGACTACTATTTTTACTACTCCTGCTACTGCTGAGTGGGCGTTTGGGAGCTGGGATGAGCTGTTGCAGCCTTACAGGATAGCTGCTGCTGCTGCTTTTGTTGTTTGCTTATCTGCTGCACACGCGCTCGGGCGTTTGCTGCGGCCCTTGCTGGTGCTGCTGTTGTTCCGCCGGCTGCTGCATCTGCTCGTGCTTTGCTGCTGCTGCAGCAGCAGCTGCTGCGGCCTGCGGCTTGCACAGCTGTTGCTGCCGCCTCATCTGTACAGAAGAGCCTTCTGAAGAGCTCTTGCTGCTATTTTTACTGCTGCTTCCTTCGCTGCTGCCGTTTGTGTTACTGCTGCTTTTGCTGCTGCTGCTGCTGCTGCACCGCGTGCTTTGCTGCTGCGCGTTTGCTGCCGCAGGGGAGCTTTGTTTGCTTACGACGAAGACGCCATCCCACCAGAGGTTCTCCAGTGGAATGTTCGAGTACGCTTCCGTTGCTTCTGTTGCTGCTGTTTCTGCTGCTGTTGTAGCTTCCGCTGCTGTTTCAGTGATAGGACAGTTGTTCGTAGCAGCCAGCCCTTCCGGCGCCTTTGTTGCTGCTGCTGCAGCCGCTTCTGACTCTTGCCGCTGCTGCGGCCGTGAAGAGTTCTCTCTAGAGATGTTGCTCCCATTTGCTGTTGTTGCCACGTGTGCTGCTGCTACTGCTGCTGCTGCTGCTGCTGCAGGTGTTTCGTCTCTCCCGCAGCCATCGTTACAACGACGCAGCAGCAGCAAATGACTACTGGCGGTTTCTTGAGGATTTTCTTTTGTCCCCGCGGCAGTTACAAATCAGCAGCAGCAAGAAGATATGCGTCTCAGGCAGTTGAGACTGCTCTGCTGCACCAGCTGCTTCAGTCAGGCGCAGCTGCAGCAGCAATGGCTAGCACTGCCACGTCTGCAGCAGCAAAGGTCTGCTGACGGTGCTGGTGATGCTGCAGCAGCAAACAGTAGCTTTTGCACTTTTGCTGCTCCTGTCTATGCCTGTATAGGTAGTGAAGAAGTGACCCTGCACCAGCAGCAACGGCAGCTGATGCTGCTTAGGCTGCTACTGCATCAGCAGCGTCTGCTACTGCTGCATCGGCAGCACCGCCCGCTGGTGATGGTTGGCCTGTTGCTGCACCAGCAGCAATCGGTTTTATGTTTCAATGGTGCCTTGTTTGGCCTTGTGGTACAGGGGCCCTAGTTGCTGCACCTGGCAGCAGCAGCAGCAGCAGCAGCAGCGGCGGCATGTCTACGCCAGCCTGCAGTCTCTTTTGCACTTCATTCGCAATGCTTTGTACTCGTACTTAACTTCTTTTTCCCGCAGATTTCGTTTCAGTCTTAGTCATTTAGCCTTTTACTTGTTCATTTATTTATCGTTTTTGTGTCTGCCTCATTTTACTTGAATATAAAAGCTTTCGAGCTTGAATTTACTCAAAGTACGAAAAAGACACGCTGCCGTTGCTGCTGCTGCAGCAGCAGGAGCTGCTGCTGGTGGTGCAACAGCTGTACCTGCAGTGTTGTCATGTCAGTCAAAAGCGGCCAACAAATCCTCTGTCTCTTCTTTAGACAGCCAGTCTTCCTTTTCTGCAGCAGGAGCAGCAGCAGCAACTGCTGCTGCTGCTCTTGCGGGTGTTTCGTGCAGCGACGAACAAGAGGCTTGCTGGGGCGCTGCTGCGAGCTGCGGCTGGTCTTGAGCTGCAGCTGCTGTCACCATCTGGCTTGGTGCTGATGCACGGTGCTGCTGTGACTGCTGCTGCTGCTCTTGCTGCTGCTGTAGGATATCTGCTGCAGTAGCGAAGTGGGGCATGCGCTGGTGCAGCGACGGCTGTGACGACCAGTGAGGCTGCTGCGGCATGTGCTGCTCCTGCTGCTGCTGCTGCTCATGCGGCATGCGCTGCAGTTGCTGCTGTGGCGGCAGCAAGAGCTGTTGTTGCTTCTGCTGCTGCGCTAGCCATGGCCGTTGCTGCCGCTGCTGCAGCTGTGCACTTGCGCCTTGCTGCCCCACTAGTTGTTGCGGCTGCTCACTTTTGACTATTTGCTGTTGCGGCAGCTGCTCCGTGAGCGGCTGCTGCTGCTGGTTCGCGGACAGCTCTGGCTGTAACGACTGCTGCTGCATGGCCTGGCGCTGGTTAGTGAAGTGCAGCAGCTGCTGCTGTTGCCGCTGCTGCCCCTGACACTGCAGTTTGACGACCCAGCCCGAACCGTTCGAAGCTGCAGCAGCAGCAGCAGCAAGGGCGTTTTGTGAGGGCTGTTCGTGAGCAGCCTCCGCTGCAGCGGCCGCCGCAGCAGCAGCAGCAGGCGCCGCCTGAAAGTGCTGGTGCAACTGCAGCAGCACCGGCCACAGTGAAGCCTCAAACGTCAAGTGCGGCATTAGCCAGCGACATAAATCTCCAGAAGATGGCCTGTGTCTGCTTTCCAGCAGCACCACGACTCCGTAGTCGCCCCTGAGTCGACAGCAGCAGCAGCAACACGGCAGCGGTAGAAGCAGCATCAGCACTGGCAATAAAAGCAACGGCAGCAGCAGCCGCAACACCAGCAGCAACAGCAGCAACAGCAACAGCTGCAGCTGTAACAGCAGCTGCTGCTGCTGCACGCGTAAGACGTACACGTGCCGAATGCATCTCCCTGCTGCTTGGTTGAGGGCTCTGTAGGCCTGAGTGGAGTACCACCTGGACCCACTGACCATCTGGGTTTGTTGCTGCTGCTGCTTCTTGTGTTTCTGCTGCTGCTGCTGCAGGCAGCGAGCGCTGCATGCGTCGTTGTAGTCGCGCTTCTTCTGAACTTTGGGGTCCCCCAAAGACGGAAACGGCAGCCCCACACAAAAGACGCCGCGGCACAAATCGTCATTGAAGGAAAGGCCTTCGCTGAGTTTGCCCCTGTAGACAGCCAGCAGCAAGGCGTGGCCTGCGGACTTGACTGCGGCCACGAATTGCTGCTGCAGCAGCTGGCTCGCTGCAGCAGCAGCAGGCGTTTCCACGAGCACGTGCCGCTTCAGCTGCACCAGCACATCCCATATTGTCTTCCTCCCATGCCGGGAAGCTGGCATCTTCCTCCGCTGCTGCTGCTGCTGCAGCTGCAGCTGCTGCTGCTCGAGCCACATGGGCTCGCGCTGCCAGATCCGCTGGGCTTGCTGCAGCAAACCATACCTCGGCAAGAACAGCAGCACCCCTCCAGGCACGCACTGCAGCAGCCTTGCTACTGCCCTGCCAAGATCTGCAAGAAACTCGGGGTTGTTGAGGTTTGTTGCTTGACAGCGCAGCTCCCGCTCCTGCACGGTGTGCCGGTGCTGCTGCTGCTGCTGCACCACTTGCAGCCGCTGCGCCGCTGCTGCTGCTGTCGTCGCAGGCGAAGCCAGCGGCTCTGCTGCAGTGCTGGAGGGCAGTGCAGCAATAGCTATCACCTTTAGCTGCTGCTGCCCTATCACGTGTCGCGCCTCAAGAGGGGGACCCAACAGCCGCTTGCCAAAGGCAGGACCCAACTCGGACCTGCAGCAGCAGCAGCAGCAGCAGCAGCAGTTGCCAGACCTATCAAGGCGCGGCTTTGAGAGCACACTAGCGCAATGACCAGAACAACAGCGGCAGCGTCAACTGAAGTCGCAGCAGCAACCAATGCAGTACCAGCAGCAGCAGCTGCAGCAGCGGCAGCAGCAACTGCAGCAGCAGCAGCAGCAGCATACGCGAAAGAGTCAAAGGGCGCCAGCGTGCCTGAAGCAAGGACAACAGTTCTGGCGGTCTCAGCGACGCGGGAGAAGACGACGGCGGGCAGCAGCAGCCAGAGGTGTACAGACACCTTGCGGATTGCGTCCTCCTGCTGCTGCAGCGACTGCTTCTGCTGCTGCGGCAACGCAGCAGCAGCAAGGAAGTGCCGGTCCGCAGCAAGGCGAATGGAAGCAGCATAAGCTGTGGGGTGCTTCGCCAACAGAAACAAACAGTAAGCCAGCTGCTCCAGCTGCTCCAGGCTGTCACCTGCTGCTGGGGGCCCCAGCCCCACCAGCTCTGAAGCTTCGCTGCTGCTGAGCGACAGGACTTCTACACTTTCCCCCAGTACTGTTGCTGCTTCGGGTGTTGTTAAACCTGCTGCTGCAGCAAAGCCTACAGCGCCTTCTGGGGCCCCGCCGCCCCAGCCCATCAGCTCGAGGGATACGCTGGGCTCGTCTGCTGCTGCTGCTATCGCTACGCCGCCGTGCACTCCTCGTCTGCTGCTGCTGCTGCTGCTGCTGTTCATTCGCACGCTCCGCTGCAGCTCCTCGCGAATCACGTGCTGCTGCTGCTGCATCACCCGCTGCAGCAGCTGCTGATTCGTTGCTGCATTTACTGCCACGTCTACCAACTTGGAAATCGGCGCTGCTAGCCTCCCTGCGTGCAGCGCAAGACGCTGCAGCAGCTGCTGCATCCTTGTGTCTCTCCTTGCTGGTGCTCCTGCTGCCAGAGACGATGGCAGCAAACGCTCAAGAGACTGCAGCCACCGCAGCAGCTGCTGCAACTGGTCCACAGTTATGTCTATGCTCCCGACTTCCCTGCAAACGTCTTCTATATTATGTGCTTCGTCTACTATCACCACGCTGCCTGCAGCAGCAGCACCAGCAGCAGCAGCAGCAGCATAGACAGTAACAGCCACAATAGCTGCAGAAGCCCTGGCGCCAGCTGCGTCAGCCGAAAGGCCCGCGCAAAGGGATGCAGCAGCAGCAGCAGGTGAGCAGCTTGAAAACTGACAGCAAAGCCCGAAGCAGCAGCAGAAACAATAAGTGCAGCAGGGCTCGCATTCACCACAGCAGCAGGAGTATCACTAGCAGCAGCGTTGGAGGCTTGCATTGATAGAGAGCAGCACTAACAGCAGGAGCCGCAGCACGAGCAGCACTAACAGCAACAGCACCAACAACAGCAGCACTAACAGCGACAGCGCCAACAACAGCAGCACTAACAGCAGAGGGACTAAAAGCAGCAGCGGCAATAGCAGCAGCAGCAGCAGCAGCCCTCGGAGCAGCAACAGCAGCAGCAGCTGCACCAGCAGCACCAGGTAGAATAGATGCGACTTTGGTTCTCCTTGCCACTCCAGGGTCCACAACAAAGGCGTAGGGGCACACCACAATATCAGCCCCTTGGGCCAGCGCCTGGCTGCTGTAGTAGGCGCAGCCCCCAATGCCGCCGCTGCTGCTGCAGTCTGCAGCAGCAGCAGACAGCGCCTCAATGTCTAGCACGCTTTCGCACTTGCTGCTGCTGCTGTTGCTGCAGGCAGCACCGTCAGCGCCGTCTTCCGGTTTTCCCTTCACTGCTGCGGCGGATGGCCCTGCTACGGAGGTATCTGTTGCTGCAGCAGCAGCTGCTGCTGCTGCTGCAGATGCCGGCTTAGCAGCAGCAACAACAGGCGCAAGGGCATGTGCTGCGAACTGAGCAGCATAGACAGGGTCAGAAAGGCGGACGTAATGGGGGCAAATCCAGCAGTTTCCCTGGCCCGCAGCAGCAGCAGCAGCTGCTGCTACAGCTGCTGCTCCTGCTCGTGCTGCTTTTAACGTTCCCTGCGCAGTCCCTTCATTTGAGTCCCCCCCAACGGCTTCTTCGTCTGCGTCATCTTGAGACCCGAATCGTTCTGCTTTTGTTGCTTTTGCTGCTGCTGCTGTTGCTGCCGGGGTGGACCGGGCGGTGACAGAAGGGGGAAGGGGGGACTCGCAGGCGGCAACTAGCAGGTCATTTTGTTTTGCTGCTGCTGCCTGAAGCAGCAGCTGCTGCTGCTGCAGCTGTTTCTCCGTTAAGCCCACCGCTCGTTTGCCCAGCTTCTGCAGCCACAGCGGGGGCGGCGCACACTGCTGCTGCTGCGGTTGTTGCTGCTGCTGATTTTCGTCTGGCCTGGCTGCTGCAGTAGCAGTAGCAACAACGGATCGCAGTGCAATGTTTTGCTGCCTCCGAAGCCTTTCCGTGAGCCTTGCTGAGGCACGACAGTCGACGCCGCTGACGGGGGCAGCAGCAGCAGCAGCTGCAGCAGCAGCAGCAGCTGCGGCCGCCGCAGTGCCCCCCACGGTCCCTGCTGCTGCTGCTGCTGTTGCTGCTGCTGCTGCTGTTGCTGCTGAAGACCTGCGAAATGAGCACAAGTGCTCTCTCGAAGCCAAATGGACAGCTCGAGGCCTGAAGGCCGTCCGCCGTATCTCTGAAATCACCTGCACGTACACCTCACCATCAGCGGACGCAAAAGAGCAAACTCAGTCTGCAGCAGCCTGCAGCAGCAAGCAGCAGCAGAGGCAGCTCAGGGAAAAGAAAAGGACAATAAGAAGGGCAGCGAAACCCCTGCGAGCCGCAGCAAAGATCGCAAAAGATGCTGGTTGCTCGGTTGAGACAGGTGCAGCAGCAGCAGCAGCAGCAGACAGAAATGAAGGCAAGATATAAGGAGAGCAGCAGAGCAGCAGACAAGCAACACGGAGAGGGCAAGACGGAGCGAAAAAGAGAGACATCAGGAGGCGCAGGCCTGCAAAACTAGACAAAATTGACGCCCAGCTAGCTAGCTAGCTAGCTGGGCAGCTAGCAAGCTACTTAGCAAGCTAGCTGCCATGCTAGCTAGCTGCCTAGCTAGCCAGCTAGCTAGAAACAAGCATGGCTAGCTGCCTAGCTAGCTGCGCACGCAAATGGCTAACTAGCCAGCTGCCTTTCCCGCCAGCGCCCCAGCTGGCGAACAGCCAGCTGGCTAGCTATGGAGCTCGCCACGGATTCCGCAGCGCAGCGCCGGCAGCAGCAGCAGCTACTGCTGGTGCTGCTGCTGCAGCAGCCCGCGTCTACCCGCGCACTGCCGGAAACAGCAAAAAAGGAGCAGAACTGTGGGCTAGTGAGAGACGCAAAGAGACAAAAAGAGAGCTAAAGAGCAGCAGCAAATGCCGAAGCTGCTGCTGGCCCCACTTGCTGCCCCTGCTTGTGAGTCCTCGTCAAGTACAAAATGCAGCAGTGCCCTCGCCGCCCAGACTGGAGGCTCTCGAAGCGCTGCCAGCCCAGCGCCCCGCACAGCAGCGCTGCTGTCTTCCCGGTGCCTGCGCAGCAGCAGCAGCAGCAGCAGCAGCAGTACCAGCAGCACCATCAGCGCAGGCGGCGGGAGTTTAAGCAGGCGCACGGGCAGCAGCAGCTACAGCAGCTGAAGTGGGAGCTGCGGAGCAGCGGCACCATTTCGCAGCAGCAGCACACGCAGCGGCAACAGCGCAGCAGAAGCGGGCGAAGGAGCACTCAGCAGCAGCAGCAGTAGCAGCAGCAGCAAGTCGCAGCCCACCTGTAGGGGACTCTAAGATGACGTGCTTCTTGTGCATGCATGCGCTCACAATTCTGTCCATGATTTGCTGCTGCGGTTCCAAGATTCTCTTGTGGTGAAAGGGGATAGAAAGCCCGCAGGTCGACACCATGCGGCGTATGTTTGCTGCTGCCAGGGGCGGCAGCGCCAGCGGCCCGATCTTGCTGCTGCTGCTGCTGCTGCTGCCAGTGGAGGCGTTCAGGACGCGCATGTCGACCAGAGGGATGCTAGTGCTGCTGCTGCCGGTGCTCGTGCGGGTGCTCGTGCTGCTCTGGCTGCTCAGCGTGCTGCTGCAGGTACTGTTGCCGCTGCAGCAGGTGCTGCTCGCAGCAGCAGCAGCAGCAGAAGCAGCAGTAGCAGCAGCAACCAAAAAGGCACCGTTGGCTGCGCTTTCCCCTGGAGAGCCCTGGAGAGCCGCTGCATCATCTTTAGGGGGATCGCAGCTCTTCACACCAAATGCGAAGCGGGACAGCTCTTCTGCTGCTGTTGATGCTGCTTCTGCTGCTGCTGCTGCTCGAGCCGCATACGGCATATTTTCTTGAGCAATTGACACTGAAGCTGCTCTGGTGCCTGTTGCGTCGGCAGCCGCGGCTTCCATGACCGCAGCTGCAGCGGCCGCGGCATCTTCTGCTCCGGCAGCAGCAGCAGCAGCAGCAGCGGCTGCATCGACTTCTAAAGGCTCCGCCTTCACAATCTGCTGCTGCTGCTGCTTGCATTCCGTTGGCTGCAGGTTTTGGTCCCCACTATCTTTGTGGCCCTCTGTCTTTGAACACTTCGGGAGTGGCTTGAGAGCAGGCAAATCTGTGTTGCTGCTGCTGGTGTTGCTGCTGGGAGCAGCAGCAGCAGCAGCAGCAGCGCGAATGTCAGCTCTCAGCTGCAGCAGCGCCAGCTGCTCAGCAAGCAAGTCCACACTCGGGACAAAGGGCCGGGGCCCTTGGGGCCCCACTAAGAGGTTTTGGTAGCAGACAGCAGCATCTTCTGCAACAGCCGCTGGTAGCTGCTGCAGCTGCTGCTGCAGCTGCTGCTGTTGCTGCCTTTCATCTTGCGTTGATGAATTCTCAGAAGGCGCGCCCAAGATGTGGCGGTACTTTTGTTGCCGCTGCTGTTGCTGCTGCTGCTCCTGCTGCTCCTGCAGACTCCTCTTCGCTAGGAAGCCGTAAGCGGCCAGTCCGAGCTGCTGCTCTGTCTGTAACCGTTGCCTTTTTTGCAGCTGCTCTTGCTGCAGCTGTTGGTGCTGCTGCAATTGTTGCTGTTGTTGTTGCTGCTGCTGCTGTTGTTGTTGCTGCTGCCCCTCTTGCTGTTGCTGCCGCCGTTGTTCTTCGTGTTGCTCCTTCTGGAGCTCCTGGCTGTCGGGCTTGGCGGGGAGCGGCACAAACTTAAGGCCCCTGGGGCCCCTCGCAGCCACGCGGCGCTTCCCTGCGGGCACCACAGGCAGAAAATGGGTCCCTTCAGAGTTTGTGTTTCCGCTGCTGCTCTGCATCCCTGCTGCTGCAGTTCCTGCTGCTGGCTCTGCAGCAGGCTGCTGCCCCCCCAAACTGGGCAGGGGTCACCCAGCAGGCCAACGCAAGGCAAGATTCCCCTCAGATCGTCTCAAACAAAACTATAAGTTTAAGACAAACATGAACAAACTGTGTTCTGCTGCAGCTGCTGTGGGCTACTGCTGCACAGCAGCAGCCCCGTGGCCTTCGCCAGAAGGCCCCCGGGCCCGAGTGGGGTTGTTGTTATGGGGGCCCCTGAAAGAAAAATAACCCATAGAGGGCCTTATAGGAAATCAGGAGCTTATTAGTATTTAATTTCACAGGAAGTGGTAGAGATCGCCTCAAATACGACTACTTTGGCTGCTGCTGCCCACAGCAGCAGCGGCAGCAGCAGCCACAGCAACAACACCAGCCAGCCTCGCTCACGGCCCCTGACCAGTTCTATGTGAGGTTGAGCGTCAGCAGCTGCAGCTGCGTCTGCTGCTGCCGTACAGAGCAGCTAGCCAGCATCAGGCGCAACACCAGCCGCTGCTGCTGCACACACGCTGCTTCAACAGCATCGGTGGGACACTGAACAGCAGCAGAGCCCGATGAAAGGAAACGCACCGCAGGCCAAGACGCCTGTTGCAGCAGCAGAAGTCTGTGCTGCTGCTGCTGACTGCTAGCGATGGTAAGGCAACATCGACCCACACGGGCACCAAACCCACCTGCAGCAGAACCAGCAGCAGCAACAGCAGGAGCAGCAGCAGCTGGCCCGTGTTCTGTAGTGAGCAGCAGCGGAAACCGCGCAGATGTTTCTGGGTCGCCTGCATTCCGGCTTCAGCGGCTGCTACTGCCTCACCAGCAGCAGCTCATCTCAACAGCAGCAAGTGGCAAGGCGCCTTTGAACCCACAAAGAAACCAAAATGCTGCTGCTGCAACTGCTTGTGCTGCTGCTGCTTCTGCGGACAAGCCCTTATACTGCAGCAGCAGCAGCGATGACGAGATTGAAGAGTGCACGCAGAGGCAGCGCAGGAGTAGCGGCTGCTGCTCCGCAGCAGCAGCAGGTGGAACAGCAGCTGCAGCAGCAGCTGCAGCAGTAGCAACAGCGACAGCAGCGACGCCTTCTACAGCTGCGACGCCTAGAGAGCTCAGCCCGCAGCAGCAGCAGCAGCAGCAGCAGCAAAAGCGCTCACCGGATTGTGTAGATGCCCCAAAGGGCGGAGCAGATAACAAACGAATTCGCCTGGCTGCTGCTGCTGCCGCTTGCAGCAGTAGCACTGACAGCAGCCAAGAGGCCTGCAGCAGCAACACTTTGCCTTGCAACGACTTGCAGGGGTCATCTCGCTGCAGCAACAGCACTTCCCAAGCCTGCTGCAGCAGCAGCAGCAATAACGAAGACGCCGGAGCCCTACAAACAGCGGCGGCAGCTGCTGTGAATCAGCTTTCCAGATTGCTACTGCTGCTGCTGCAGGGCAGCAGGAACAAGGTAAGGCGAAACGATCAAGCAAACTCCGCAAGTGCAGCAGCAGTATCAGCAGCAGCAGCAGCTGCTGCTGCTGCAGCACGGGCCGACCCTTCTGTGGGGGAGGCCTTGAAGGCTGCGCTGGGATCTGTAAAAGATCTGCTGCCTTTGCTACGTCCCCCTCCAGCACCGGATACAGCCTTGTTTCTTGAGCTGCAGCACGAGGAAAAGCGGCTGCAGAAACGTGAGCAGGATAAGCAGCAGCAAGAGCAGCAGCAGGTGCATCAGCAGCAGAAAACAGAACACCTTTTTTCGGAGGAGGAAACAACCAATACCTCTGCAAAACTCGGCGACGAATCCCATTGGATCATCAGCAGCCCTAGTGACCAAACAGACGAGGAAACAGCAGCAGCAGCAGCAGCAGCAGGAGCAGGACGGGCAGCAGCAGCAATGCGAGACGCAGCTGCCGACGGCGTCACGTCTGAAGACTCAGCAGCAGATGGCGCAGCAGCAGCAGACATTACAGATGATGATGACGCAGATGAAGACTCGACTTTGATCGGAGAGAGTTGGCCTTCATCCGCTGCTGCTGCTGCTGCTGCTGCTGCGAACGACAAGCTCTGCAGCAGCAGCAGCAGCGGCCCCCCCAGCAGCCGCCTTTGGCGGCGGCGCCGCAGCAGCAGCAGCAGTTACTGCGAGGCACTGTTCAGCTCAGACGACGAGTCCGTCGCTTCAAATGGGCAGCAGAGGCAGCAGCAGCGACAGCAGTGGCCGCGACAGCGGCAGCAGAAGCAGCAGCAGAAGCAGCAGTCCTCCCAAATGAGTTCGGCATCTTCCGTTTCCCAGCACAGCAGCATGAGTAGCATCAGCAGCAGCAGCAGCAGCAGCGTGCTGGGCGGCGCCCGCAGCCTTAGCAGCAGCAGCAGCAGCAGCAGCAGCCAGTTGGGCATATCGTCTGACTGCAACACTGCCTCAGGTGCTGCTTACTGCGCGTTCGTCTCCTGGTGGAGCGCAGGAGGTGCTGCTGCTTTTCCTGCTGCTTCGCTGAAGGCGCTGCAGCAGCAGCACCAAATGTCTCTGTCTTCGTTCTTCTCCACGGACACGCCTTTGGCCCGGCAGGCTCTCCAGCTAAATAGGCAGGTGCTGCAGCTGCAGATTCAGCTGTCAAGCTGCTGCTGCTTGTGCTGATGCTACTTCCGCTGCTCCTTTGTTTCTGGCTCCTTTCAGCAAATCTTCTTATCTACTTCTTACGTCTTTAGGTGTTATTCATTCATGATCTTTTCCTTTTTCTCTGTTAGTTGTTGCGTTTATTCCATGTTTTGCTGCTGCTGCACTACGTGGTTTTGCTGCTGCCCGTGCCTGCTCTGCCCCTTTCATCCCTTCCGGAGCCCGCGTAGCCTCTGCGGCTAATTCTATATCTTTTACGTCTTTACTGCTGCTGCTCCTGCCGCTGCTGCTGCGCTGTTTAAGCGCTTCAGCTGCCCTGCGGGAGGTAGGAACTGTGGGGCCAGTGCCCAAGCAGTTGCAGCAGCAGCAGCAGCAAAGCAGCAGCTACAGCAGTAGCAGCAGAAGCAGCAGCACGTTGTTGGCTGCGTCTGTGGCCTCAGATATTTAAGCACGACTCCCTGAGGGGACTGCAACTTCCCGCCATTTCCGCCGTCTGCAGCGGCAAAGACACTTTTGTCGTGATGCCGACGGGTCAGCAAGGCTGGTGATGCTGCTGCTAACTCGCTGCAGCGACGCTGCTGCCAAGTTTGCTGCTACTGCTGCCGTGCTGCAGCGTCGCTGCTATATTTGCTGCTACGTTTGCTGCTAATCTCGTTGCTGCAAATCTGTTGCAGCTGCTTTTGCTGCTGCTAAACTCGCCGCTGCCAAGTTTGCTGCTGCATTAAACAAATCAAATCGCGCGCAGCGCAGTCTGCGTCCGGCCTATTCTTGCCATCCCGGGCGCTGCTAAGTCTGTTGTTGCTACGGTTGCGAGGGCTGCTGACCTGCTGCTGCTGCTGCTGCTGCTCAGGTGGAGGCAAGAGCTTGTGCTACCAGTTGGCCGCGCTGCTGCTGGGTGGCGTCTGTGTAGTCGTGTCTCCGCTGCTGGCGCTGATGGAAGACCAGCAGCGGCACATGCAGCAAAAGGGTCTTTTTGTGGAAAGGCTGGATGCCTCTTTGTCTAAGCCTGAGGTTCGCAGGCTCTGCAGCTGCTGCAGACACTGCTGCTGCTCCTGCTGCTCATGTTCTTGCTGTTGCACAGCGTGCTCCACCGGCTGCAGCTGCTTCCTTGGGGTTTCTGATGCTGCTGCTGCCTCTCTCGATCTGGCTGCTGTTGCTGTTGCGCCTTAACATTTAAACGTCTTTCCTGCTTCTGCAAACTCTTTCCAGTGATTTTGCACTCGCTCCTGATGCTGCTTATGCAGCAGCTGCTGCTGGTGCTCCCGCGGCAATTGCTGCTGCGACGGCCACTGCCGCTGCTACTGCCGATCCCACCTCCGCCTGGGCCGCGGCTGTTGCACCTGCAGCTGTGTCAATGTGTTGCTGCAGCCGCCCCCACGTTGCTTGGACAGTCTCAAAATTGCTGCTGCTGCTACTGCTGCTGCTGCTGTTGCGGCTGCAGGTGCGTCGGGTATACGCAGACCTCCGCAGCAAAAGCCCCAAGACTCAAGTGCTGCTGATAACTGCCGAGAGGCTCTCGCGTTCTAAGCGGCTGGCCGAGGCCATGGCGGCTCTCCACAGCCGCCGCCTTCTCCGCCTGTTTGTGGTTGACGAGGTCAGGGCCGCGCAGCCTCTTCAAAGGCCTAGCCAGCGTTTACGGCTTCGGGTTTAGAGTTTAGGGTTTGGGGTCTAGGGTCTAGGGTTTCGTGTCTGGAGTTTAGGCTTTAGGGTTTAGGGTTTTAGGCTTTAGGATTTAGGGTTTAGGGTTCAGGGGTCTTGAGTGTATGGTTTAGGGTTTGGGGTTTACAGTTCAGGGTTTAGGGCTGTAGGGCTTAGAGTTTAGAGTGGCGGGATCCTCAGGCTCACTTGGTGTCTCAATGGGGCGAGGACTTCCGTGAGGAGTATTTGTCGGTATCCTTTTTGAAGACAAAGTATAGAGGCGTGCCCATAATGGCTCTCACTGCGTCGGCCTCCCCTGAGGTGAATTCAACTTTTTCCTTTTTTCTTTAATAAAGGTTTTGCTTCCGGATCTGCACGTTAAGTCTGCCTTTCCCAGTGTCAAGACAGCCCAAATGTCTTCAAAATAAAACGGGATTGACTCAGTTCAAACCATTTTTTGTCTTTGTTCCTCAGCTGTGCCTTTCGGCGATATTTGCGTGCGTAGTTTTGGGTGTCTCTGGGAATATGAACATCCCTCTCTTTCTTTTTTCTCCTGCTGCTTCTTTCCTGTTGCCTTCCGTCCCTTTGCCTTTGCCTGTCTGCCTGCGGCCGCATGCACAAGCAGCAAAAATGGCTCTTCTGTATTGGGTTTTTTGTTCTTTTGTTTTCCAATTGTCGCCTGCTTCTCCTCCTTTTCGTGTCGCTGCACTAGATCAGCATTTCTGTCGATGCAAATCAGCGTTCACTTTTTTTAATACTTAAAAGTCTGGCTGGGTCCTTTCTCCATGAGTACAAATAGGCTTATGTGTATCATTTTTACAGTTACGTTTAAAGATACATGTAGGAATGATGTAGGAATGATCATGCATGCATATGCATGTATACATACATGTACCACATGTACACCCACACACACCCACACTCATCCACACGCAAGCACATACACACGCACACACACACACACACACACATATATATATATATATATATATATATATATATATATATGTATATATATATATGTATATATGTATAGATGCATATGTGAATGCACAATAAGCGAATATGTATACGTATAGAAGTACCCCAATTTGCATCTTCACATGTGCTATTTTTGGGCTTTGCAGCTGGAGCGCCGCGTGCTGTCTTTGCTGCGCATTTCCGTTTGCTGCTCATTTCGCATGAGTTGCGACCGCCCGAATTTGTTCCTGGAGGTCCACCGCAAGACGAAGGAAACTGTGGCTTTTATTGCTGCAGCAGTTTCCTCTCCGCCCCTCGCCGGCTGCTGCGGCATTATCTATTGCCTTTCCACAAAAGACTGCGAGGCTCTCGCAGCCAAACTCAGCCAGAGGGGAGTCCGCGCGGTGCCTTACCACGCTAAGATGACGCACAGCAAAAGAGCTAAGGTCTGTTCCTGCTGCTGCTGCGGCTGCTGCGACGCTTGGCTTGGCTGCAGCTGCAGCAGCTACGCGGAGACGTTTGTTGGTGCTGCGGCTAAGGGGACGAGTGCTGCTGCTGATTTGCTGCTCTTGCCGGCGTTCGGATTACTGCTTTTTGCGCTGCTCCTCCTGCTGCTCTTTTTGGCATTACCTTCGCTGCTGCGTTTCGGCCTTGGCTTTGCTGCTGCTCCTTCTGCTGCTGCCGCTGTTTTGCCTCATCAGTGCTCCCGCTGCTCGCAGCCAGTCTGTTGCCGTTGCGAAAGCCCAGGGCCTTTTAACGACTCTCACAGCAGCGCGCGCAAAACCTGCCCTTGCATCACTTTTTCTGCCTGCAGGCGCCCCTGTTACTGCCATTTTCACTGCTGCTGCTGCTGTTCTTACTGCTGCTGCTGCTGCCTCAGGTTTCTGCTCAGTGGGGTACCGGGGCTGCGTTGGTTGTTTGCTGCACGGTGGCTTTTGGCCTCGGCGTGGATCGAGCTGACGTTCGTTTCGTCTTCCACCACTCAATGCCGCCCTCAATAGAAAGGTTTGGTGCTGCTGTTTTTGTTGCTTGTCGCTGCTGCAGTCTGTGCTGCTAGCAGGGCTTGGTTGCTGTGCCATTTTCTCTTGCTGCAACCTGACAGCATACAAAGAGTTAGTCTCTTTGTTGGATATCGATTTCAATTTTGGATTTCTGCATTTGTTTGAATATTTGACAGAAATGGAAGGACGTTTTCTGTCTTCTGCTGCTCCTTTTGCTGCAGGTACTACCAGGAAATAGGGCGAGCAGGGCGCGACGGCCAGCCCGCCCGCTGCATCCTATTCTACCTACCTCACGACGCCACGCGGCTAAACAAGCTGCATGCAGAAGGGGGGGCCCCGTCGCGGGGCCCCCGCAGAGGCCGCGGCAGGAACAGGGGCCCCCCAGCGGTGGCCGCAGCGCAGCAGCTGGCGGCGCCCTTCGTGTTGGGGCCCTCCAAAGAAGCACTCAAGGCTAAGGGGTTAGAGGAGATGCAGCGCTACTGCGAAGAAGACACGGAGTGCCGGCGGGCCTTTTTGCTGAGGGCTCTGGGGGAGACGCAGCCTGCTGCTGCAGCTGCAGCAGCAATTTGCAACGCCCAGTGTGACAACTGTTGGAGAAGGCAGAACAGCCGCATCGAGGTATGGCAAGAAAGACCCTTAGCATTGTACTATGGCTTGTTTGCTTGCGCGCCTTTCTTTGCGTTTTTTTTTGTTTTCTATAGCAGCACGTCGCCTCCTTTGTTTCCTTTCTCTGTGCATATCTGCCCGATTGTTTTGCTGCCTGCCGCCCTTATGATGTTTTCACTATTGAACGTAGTTGCTGTGTTTGCTTGCAATTCGTCTCTTCTGCCACTTTCTGTGCCGCACTTGCTCGCGAATTCGCTGTTTCATGTCACCTTCCTGCTTCGTCTGTTTCTGTGTACACATTAGGAAGTCGATGCCGCAGAAGCAGCAAGAGTTTTGCTGCTGCTGCTGCATGCTCACGATGCAGCAGCAGCAGGTGACGGCCACAAGCCAAAGCCTCTCACCCGCCGCTTGCTGCGCCTAGCGTCGCGCAGTGCCAGCGCGAAGGCAGTCCTAGACAGGGGGTGCCTCCACTGACTGCTGCTGCTGTTGCTTTCACTGCTGCTGTTGCTGCTGCTGCTGAGGCTTCCACCTCCAGCTGTTGCGGCGGCCTTCTGCTGCTGCTTCGTTCTGCTGGTGCTTTCTTTTGCTGCTATTTCTGCCCACAGAGCTGGCGTTGGTTCTCTTGCTACAGTTGCTGCTTGTGCCGCAGCTACCGCCGAGAACCTTCTGCTTCTCCATTCTCAACCTGCCCTTCTGTGTTGCTGCTGCGGTTGCTGCTGGGCTGCAGGGCTACAGACATGAGTTGCTACGGGGCCCTGCGCGGCCTCAGCTCAGACCAAGTAGATGTCATTATATGGTGAACACAGCACATCTTTCTGTTCTTCTCACCTCCCTTTTAGCAGGTTTTTGCTTTTTTGTGTTTTTGTCTCTCTTTTCATCACTCAATCTCAGTCTCTACTCTCGCCAGCGCTTTCAATTTCCGTTTGCTCCCGACCATTTGCGTCGTTGCTTTTTGTCAACTTTGTTTCTTCTTTGGCCTTCGACTTTTGGAGCTCAGCTCCCTCGCTGCTTCTGGTGCTGCTTCTGCTGTTGCTGCAGCGAGATGCTGCGGCGATCTCTTCTTAAGGAGGAGTTTGTCAAGGGACGGCGGAAGTACAGCGGGACCAGTGTGCTGCTGTAAGTCTTCCCTGCTCCCGTCTTGCATTATTTTTTTCTGTTTCTGTTTTACTTCTCCGTTGGTCTACGTCTCATTTCGGACTGTCTCAGAAGCTCCTTTCTTCTGCTGCTGCACTCCTTTCTGGCCCCCAAGACATGCTTTTCTGGCAGCCTCTGCCAGACTCTCTTCTTTAAAACTTCTCGAAATGTTCACTCTTGCCTGTCTGTTGCTTTTGTCTCTTCTGCTTCTTCAATGGCCTCCAGCCTCTGTGGTGTAGCCCTTCTGCTGCATATCGTGCGGCTGCTGTTGCTGCTGCTGCTGCTGCAGTCCCGGCCCAGCGGCCCACGACTTCCTGTGCGAAAGCCGCCCTTTTGTCCTTCGGGTTTGCGTCCCTAAAGGTGCTCCGAAGCCACTGCCAGCAGCAAAAGCAGCACCATCTGCAGCAGCAGAAACAGCATCAGAGGCTACAGCAACACCATCTATTGGGCCTAGTGCCCCAGCCCCTGCAGGTGGGACAAAAAGCAAGGCTGGAAATGGGGAAAGGGCGCCTACACGCGCCGCTGCACCAGCAGCAGCAGCAGCAGCAGTAACAACTTCAAGCACAGCGGCACCAGGACGGCCAGCTCCTAAGTGGCAGCAAAAGCCCCATTACTTCCCCCCCCAGCCTGTTGCTGCACCCCTTCAGTTCTTTTCTGAAACGGCGACCACGAATTTTGTGCAGCAGCAACAGCAGCAGCAGGTACATCCTGCTGCCGCCGCTGCTGATAGCTGCAGAGAGGCAGCGGGTAGAGTCCAAGCATCCTCTGCTGCCCATCAGGGGGGCGGGGGCCTCAGCGCTAGAACCTCCGAGAGAGACAGAGGCAGACGGCGCAGTGCACGGTCAGATGCGGCGGCAGCAGGCTTGCTGCGTGATGCAGCAGAAATAACTGCTGCTGCTGCTGCTGCTGCTGCTCGAGGCGTGTCTCTGGCTGGAAGAGATTGCGCAGCATTGCAACAAAGGAGTGGTCCTCCGATAGCTCCTGTCCGTCCTTCCGTGTTCTACGGCTTCGAATCAGATGACGAAGGGACGTGGAAAGCTCCAACATACTTTTCTGCAGCAACGCCAAGTACGACACCCGCCGCAGCAGCAGCTGCAACTGCAGTGACTGAAGCAGGTGGTGCCACAGCAACAGCGAGGGCTACAGGAGCAGCTGCAGCAGCAGCTGCAGCTCCAGCAGCAGCCGCAGCAGCAGCTGCAGCTCCAGCAGCAGCTGCAGCAGCAACTGCAGCTCCAGCAGCAACTGCAGTAGCAGCTGCAGCTCCAGCGGCAATTGCAGCAGCGCCAAGAAGTAGCGCAGCAAGTACAGCGGCAGCCCCTGGAGCAGCAGCTGCTTCTGACCTTTCCAGCTCCATCTCCAAACCCATCGCGTTGTCAGGCTTGGGATCAATCCCCTCCTCAGCAACGATCTCGGGGTCCCCAGGAGCCCCTGAAGCTCCGCTGGATCCCGAGGCCCGCAGGCGGCGGCTGGCAGCTCTCAGGCGTAATGGGGTTTGTGGTGTTCTTCCTTCAATGTGGCTGTCCTAAGACAAGGAGAACTACCTATTTGTTGCTGGTCTTGTGCTCAGGCTTGCGTACAACACTTTGTCATTCAGCTAGCGTCTTTTTGTCTCTGTTTGTGTCTTTGTTTCGTACTCTCTGGGTGTTTGTCAGTTTTATTGCGTCCTCTTTGGCGGGCTTCAGTCAGAGCCTGTGGGGCCACGTACTGGTTCAGCTGCCTCTGTGGTGTGTCTGTCAACTTTGTGTTTCGCTGGCACCTCTCACACCTTCATAACCACTGTTTGGGTCTCGGTAAACCAGGTTTATCTAATTCACTAGTGCTACTTCGCAGATTCGCTTGCTGCTGCACCGTGGATACACAACTGCTGCGCAGAACAGCTACATTGCTTCAGCAGCACTGCTCTAGAAAAGCTGTTATGTTGCATGGCTGGCTGTAGGCAGTCGCTGCAGGAGTGACACAGGCAGCACACTGTAGGCCTCACAACAACAGCAGCTGCTGCTGGCGGGCTCACAGCAACACCAGGCAGACACAGCTAATGCTTTGCACTCCCGAACAAACGGTTTGCATGGTAGCTTGCAATCCTTTGCAGCATAACCGAAAGCAGTAGGCTCCTTGCTCCCATGCCCAAGCCACAAAAGGCCTCGTTCAATACGCAGTACAATCAGCAGTCCTCATCCTCATACTGCCGCTCCACAGACGCCAATAAAGCGTTCTGTTCCCCCCAAGGAAAAGGCTCGTTATAATCGCGGATTGGATTTTACGGCCTAAATAAACGAGTACGTTCAACTGCCCGTTAACTTCCAACAGCAAAAGAGGTTCTCGCGGGCTGCTTGCAGCACTTTATGGTACACGTATGGTCTTACAAAACGCCCCATGTGGACAAAAGGGCAGAAACGCGCAGATAAGGGGGAGCTGGGGCCTCTTAGGTTGCACTGGCGCTGGACTCCTTGTTCCTGGAACGTGATCCCTTCCATTTTTTCGGCCACAAAGCAGCAGGCAAATACGTGAGCATGCTTTTCCCCCGTCCTGCTGCAACCCCACAGCTGCAGCTACTGCGCCACGCCAAGCTGCAGTTCCTACTACAACGTGAGTCGTAAGACGAATTTAAGCCGTTGGAGTTTTGGGCTTATCAAAGAAATGAACACAAGTAGGAGTAGCGGTGGAAGTCAGGACCACAGGATTTGACTTAGCAGTAAGAAGGCACTCATAACAGAAATACTTGCTCGACGGAAGCCTTCAACCCCAAGCCCTGTCACAATGAGGTGACTATCTCTGGAAAAGGCTGTCCTGTGGGCAGCAGCCTTTTAAGCAGACAGATTCGCGCATATATTGCATGCACGCGTAGATCTCTTCCACAACAAAGTGACCAAAAGTGGCTTCTGCGCGTGAACTAGACCTTCAGTGTACTGTGCAGTGTTCCTCAGCATGAGATAATGGTGTCTTAACCCAATACGAAGGCCCAACTCGAAGCATATTCGATTCTTCGCATTTAAATCACGTAAAGCGTTTCCTGGATCCGCCGACTTGATCTCACAATGGACTTTCAAGGGCTAAGAAAAAGCATGGCTCCCGCAGCTGCACTCCGTCGTCCACTCATGTGTCGGACACACTAACTAGGCAATTCCGGGCAGAAAGCCTATGGCTAGACCGAGGCTGCCCTAACGAGCTGCGCCTATACACATGGACGGTGAGTTGACTATATCTAATCTCATCGCTGTGCTGTAGAACGAGCACGAGGCAGACAGCAAATGCCCACAAATGCAACTTTTTTGCTTTCCTTGCGGTGTAATGATTCAGCTCGCCAGAGTGACTCTAGCCAGCAGTAGCTAATGTGTGTGCCAGCCTCATAAGCTGTTTAAGGAAGCGTGTTAGTAGAGTGCACTGTCTAGTCCGGTGGCATGCGAAGCGCTTGGGGTTTAGCTGGGACGAATAGATTAATTTTGCGTAACCGTAAATGCATGCCGTTTGCAGCAGGCAAGGGGCCTCTGTTTGGTGCATCAAAAACGGAAGCCTGTGTAAACCGTTGATTTTTTTTGCTTGCGCAGTGGCGCCCATGGTTGTCTATTCCCTGGGTCGTGTTGTCCTTTCATGCGGTATTATTGTATGAACATACATATTGGTAAAGACCACGGGGGCGTGCTCTGAGTAGACCCTGCAACAGCATAAATACCTTGAGAGCCTTGCCATTGGCTTCAGGGTCAAAGTGATCCTTAAAGTAATGTAAACACTGAAAAGCCATTGTTTTCGCTCCATCCAGGACGCATGCATAGTGACATGAGCGCGGCTCAGTAGCGACACTGAACGTTTACTTCCAGGTCTTCGGTCACAAAGTTTCATGAAGATTGCTTGTAAGCAGGAATCAATAGAGGTATTTTTGTGCGCGATTTCCCACCTGGTTGTTGGCATGTTACAGTGCAGCCACGCTACACAGCCAGGCTCACTCTAATATGCAAGAAGGCTCTGAACGTACTGGGAGACGCCGCAGCTCCTGCCACTGCAACTCAGTCTAAAAATCCTACCGCGTGGGAGCGACAACTCATCATTCCTCGTTGTGTATCTACATGCCCAGAACTTCACACTTTTCTTCTAATTGCTGCCTCATTTGGCCCCTACATCCACGCATAAGCTCTCCCAAACCTACCGTTGCGCGGCTAGGAACAACAGAAATATTAAAATGCAAACAAAAGTTTAAATATTAAAGCTTTACAGAAGGAGCCACAAGCCGGCGTGGGCACAAAGAAGCCATCATCCCTAAAGCAGGGGCCTCTGGCTGGGTTCACAACAACCGCACCCACCTGATGCAACGGGAGAGACTGGGGGGGGTAAACGGGAAGTCTCGCGTTTATCGGCAGCAGCGAGCGCTCTTATTTCATATATTTTGGGGATTATTTACTTTGTTCTGACGCCAAATACACCCAGCAGCCTTCACTTTGCGCGCGGCCGGCGAGGCTGCCGAAGGCGGGTCTGCTGTGTGCGTGGCTCGTTCGCGTTTCTCTTGGCTCTTTCTCTTGCGATTTTCCTTCAAAGATATTGATTGAATTCATTTGAATTTATATTCAAACGCAGACTGGCTCTGCAGCCGCAGAGAACGGGGAGAGCGGTTCCGGCGGTCTCTCGGCTGTGGCCAGGCCGGCGGGGAAGGACGCAGAAGCAACGGCAGCAGCAGCTGCAGCAGCAGCAGCAGTGTCTTCGTCCCCCTACCGTAAAACCCATAGCAATACTGTGTTGCTCCTCTTTTCGAGTCCTAGTCGGCGCGTCACTGGCCCAGTCGGTGGTGGGCGTCCGTGGGGGCCTCGCCTGCCTGTACAGCTCGGGTGACACTGAGCTGAGACTTAGGTACATTATTTGCTTTATCTCTCCTAGGGTCGTGGATCTGCAGGACTTGGGCGCTGTCTAGCTTTGGACCAGGCCTGAGCGTGCCCAGCAGCGCAGTAACCTGGAAGTAGGCGCAAGCCACCGTCCACTCAACCACTGCAATTTGCATAATTCGCACTTACTCCGACAAACAGACCCTCTAGCAAGCCGTGCATCAGCGAGCCAGCGAAGATGGTGGAGAGCTGCCACGCGTACCACGGGCAGATAAAGGACGGGTTATTTCACGGTCACGGGACGCTGTTGTACTCGGGCAATGAGAAGTACGAAGGCGACTTCGTGTTTGGAAAGCGGGAGGGCAACGGCCGGTTCGAATACGCAGATGGCGCCACGTACCAGGGCAAGTGGGTGGAGGACAGAATCCACGGGCAGGGCGTGGCGGTGTTCGCGAGCGGGAACGTGTATGAGGGCCAGTGGGATATGGGGAAGATCTCGGGCTACGGAAAGCTGAAGTACTCGAACGGCGACGAGTATGAGGGCGAGTGGGTCGACGGGAAGATGCACGGGCGAGGCACTTACCGCTACAAAGAGGGAGACGTGTACACGGGGGAGTGGCGAGACGATAAGAGGCACGGCAAAGGCGTGGTGGTCTACGTGGGTGCGAAGGGGGCCATCGTGGAGAAGTACGACGGCGACTGGGTGAACGGCAAAATGCACGGGCACGGCAAGTACACGTACAGCGACGGGGGTGAGTACGAGGGTGACTGGATGGATGGCAAGATGCACGGCAAAGGCAAGTACGTGTTTCCCAACGGCAACCAGTACGACGGCGAGTGGGCAAACGACATGAAGGAGGGCTACGGGGTGCTGACTTACCACAACGGCGAGAAGTACGAGGGCTACTGGAAAGCCGACCGGGTCCACGGCAAGGGAACCCTCACCTACTCCCGCGGCGACAAGTACGTGGGGGAGTGGGTGGACGCCAAGAAGCACGGCGAGGGCGAGCTGATCTACTCCAACGGGGACCGGTTCAAAGGCGAGTGGGTGGACGACAGGGCCTGCGGCTTCGGGGTCTTCCAGTACGCGAACGGCAACAAGTACGAGGGCCAGTGGGCGGACGACAAACGCGTCGGCCTCGGCACCTTCTACTGTGCAGAAGACGGCAGCTGCTACGAGGGCGAATTCGTGCAGGGCAGAAAAGAGGGAAACGGCACCCTGAGATTCGCCACTGGCCACCAGCTAGAGGGTGTCTGGGCGGGCGGCGAGCTCGTCAGGGTCACCGCCTTCATGTTCTCCCCTGACTCCCGGTGGAACAACCCCGACCTCTAGTCCCAGTCATAACTTATACATAGGAATATTTATATATGGATGTGCACACGAGCTGTTTCCCATGCGCACAGATGTATGCGCACGAATATATGTATATATGAACGCATGTACATGAACACATGTATTAATAGAGATGCGTACGTGCCTATGGATATATAGTAGCCTATGTTTTCTCTATTGGCAATTCACTCACTAAGCAAGCGGGCGACACACAACAACCAACCATGCAGCCCAGGACACCTGCAGAGCCGGGACGAAGCAGTGCAGCCATCTATTTGCAGCAGCAGCTACAGCTGCTGCTGCTGCTCGAAAGGCAGTGGGAAACGCTGCTTATGCAGCAGCCCCCGCCCGCTTTCCGTTTCTTAATAGCCCTTGTCAAATTTGACGGAATGGAAAATCACGGAGAGAGGAATGGAGAAAGCAAAGCAAAGGGCCTGAATGCAGCTGTATTGGCGCGTTGCTGCTGCTGCTGCAGCGCTTCTGTTGCTGCAGCAGCACCCCCTGGGGCAGCTGCTACATCGGCAATAGCAGTAGCTGGCGCGCCAACAGTAGCACCAGTCATTGCAGCAACAGGAGCATCAGCTGTAGCAGCAGGAGAACTTGCGGCTGCTGTTGTAGCGGGAGCAGCAGATGTTGTTGCTGCAATGTACACCCTTCGCTGTCTTCCTCGTTGTGCCGGTGTTGCCACACCAAGCCGCCCAATCAAGACTGTTGCCGTCGCCTCTGTATAGGCATGATTGTCATTCCCGAGGCTGGCTGCTGCTGCTGCTTATCTCTCTTTTTCGTTTGCCTGTCACGCCCCGCGAGGTCGTGCTGCTGCGAAGGGACCGGGAGAGCGCCAGCCCCTTTTTTGTTTCGTTTTTCTCTGTTCGGTTTTCACAACTCAGAGGAGTTCATGCAGACCCCCGAATGCGAGAGGTGCAGCACAGACCCACTTCTCCTGGTGTATTTGCCGCTGCTGCGGAATTTCACTTCACGCAACAATGGAACTACTAGAAAGGAGGGGGCTGCGCTGGCTTAGGGGTGTGCCCACGGGGTCTATCCAGGGTGGCAATGTGGCCAGCAGGAGGGGTCAAGGGATACAGCCCGAAAGGGGAAGGCGAACGAAATGTAACGCGCAAAGGCGCAGAGAGAATTCAAACTTTAGTCTTAGCGACCCGAGTCAGACAAAAACAGAGGACGAGGGAATTCAGCATAGATCTTGGCAATTCAGGGCTAGAAGAAGAGGAAGTCACTTGCATGCGGGCCACACTCAGATAAGAAGACTGTGTTAAGGACTTTAACGAGTACCGGTGCCAGCAGCAAGACAGCGACAGCCCTGTTGCCGCACGATTTTGCCACGGCCAACTCACAAACCTCACAAGGGACGAAGCAGCGCACACTTTGTTATCGATAGGCACAACGCAGTAGCCGATCTTTCACAGGCTATGCCAAGTATGAGCCCCTTCGTGCACTGCGGAGGCCAAGGAAAGTCCTTGTGGCCTGCATTTCCATGATCCTGTGAACCAGCGAGCCAAGGACTGGCCCAGCCAGGATTTCGGGAATAGTTGAGTTCCGACGGCCCGCTGGTGGTAGAGTTGAGGGGCCTTTTCGCTTGAGAGCTTCTGTGCTCTCTTTTGCTTCAGCCAGAGGCAGAGCCCGCGGCGCTGAGGAGCACTGAAGAATCAGTGGGAGACCCTATAGGAGGGCTCCTTTTCTGCGGGCATGAGGCGTTTCCGGTGCACGCCCTACAAAGCAAATTACAGCGAGCCACTGGCGAACAAGGCAGGCGATGCGAGATTCGACAGCATGTGAAAGCTGCTCCAGTAGTCAATACAATGGCTTCAATATTGCCACTTGCTGCTGCTGATGCGGCGTGTGGACGTACACAACATCAGCCAGGGTGGCGCTTGCGCCGCATAGTTATCCGTGTGTTACGGTCTTTGTTTTACTCTTGAAATAATATAGCTTTTGTTCTCCTCTCTTCTTACTACCTTGAGTCCTGGCTGTGTGCTTTCTGAAAGTGTGGCCCCTGCGCCGCAAGCCCGCCCTCCTCAAGCCTCACTAGTTTTCGCTGCATCATGACTAGCTTTTCAAATTCAGATGCCATACCTTTAGTCCCATTATGGGCACCGCTGTCAATTATCTCGTTAAGTGAGCGCATACATGCGTTACACATGTGTGAGCGATGGCGGTGTGCAAGTTGTTTTTGCCGGTGCTGTTCCTACTGTGCTGCTGCTCTAGCGGAAAAAAGAAACACCCTAAGAGCTGCAGGCTGCACAATGTTTAGTTCTTGCCGTTGCATGTACGTAGAGGAAGGAGCGATTTTATGTATGTGTAGAGGCAGGGGTACGCGCTCTGCTGCTGCTACACAGGTAAGCAATGCAACACACAGCCAGATACATAATATTAGCAAACACAAGCGAAACCGAAAAGACCGAGTCAAAGACAGGTCGCCACGAAGATACCCAAGGAAATGAAGAGAACCCCCTGGAGTCACAGTCGTCTCACCCACAAAAAGCAGCCATCAGCTCACAGCACGTATACACGGTCCCCTTGTACAATTTCCCATGACCTATGGGAATTTGCGTAAAGGGACCGTGTATATACGATTCCCCATAGATTATCCTTTCTGCTCGTTCGCCCAAACCCTGTAAGCTGCGCAAAACGGGAGAGATCCGTATGCAGCAAGATGAGCAGCACCTCACCTCATCGACCCTACAGCAAACACCTGCAGGGAAAGCCATGGGTCTGTAGAATGTTTGGAAGAAAGTAAACAAAGTAGAGGACTTGAGGTTTTAGAAAACGTGAGCCAGTTGCCTCTACAAGCGTCTTGAATTCCCTTATCTCGTTCGTGTCCGGGGGCTCCGCCTCACCGGCAGGGACTTGCGGGACTGAAGAGGACCGAGGAACATAAACAAAAGCAGGTAGCTGCTGCAGATACTCTCAAATACCTGTTAGTAGTCACTTCAGGTTCTTGCAGCTTGCAGCAAAAAGCTTTCAGGCCACTGTGATTCTAAGCAGCAGTGCTTGGGGCGTTTCTCGGGTCTTCGCCCTTTATGAGCGCTAGCACAGACCCCGAAACCTTCCGCTACGGAAATACTCAGCAATAATAAAGGAGAAAGTGGTCTTGTAGGCGAAAATTGGAAACATTTCGCAGGCGCAGCAGAGGACTCATAACAACTGGGCGTCCCACGTAGCAAGGAATCTCAAGCAACAGCAGCAGCACAGGACCCAACCTGCAGCACCAACATGTTAATCCAGCAGTAACCAACAGCATAAGAAGAATAAAAGCTGCATTCGCGACAACAGCTACCGCAGGAGCAACAATGCTTCTGTTTATGCTTGCAGGTCTCCTGGGTCTAGCCTCTTCGGGAGACAAGAGGAGAGGAGCAGAACAAAAATCACCTTACATGGACCAAATTACGTAAGAATCTTCAATGCTGCGCGGTTTATGTTTGCATGCTTTTCCCTTTTCAGTACACTTCAGTGGCTGTTTCGCATCAGCTTACGCATGAGGCTACCATAACAACGACCCCACCATACTGGGGAAGTGTGTTTGTCTCTGTCTGGTTTTTGCGTGCATGCATTTTGTTTTCTATTCTCCATCTCGCTTGTTTCTGAGCCATTGCTGCTCCTCCGGGACCAGAAGAAACGCAAAGCTCTGGCATTTCGGGAGTGAGCCCGTAGGGGCCAGCAGCACCAGCAGAAACCCGTTCAGTCGAATCAGGCGGGCTTCACAGAAGGTGATATGGGACCCTGGGTAGCTCTGCATCATCCGCTGCCCGTCATGCCACAGCAACACCGAGGAATGCAACAGCAACAGCAGCGGAAGAAGCAGGAAGAGCAGCAAAAGCAGCAACGCTAGTAGAGGAAGGCCATCAGCGGCCACGGGATCGGCAAAGGCCCTTCAGGCTGGAGAACCCCGAATTTCTGGCGGCAACAAAACACAATGAAGTAAGAGCTAAGGGTCGCCATTTCTCCCCGCCGCTCCTGCACTGTTCTCTCGCAAGGCGCTCGCAGCGAGAACCTCCAGTGCTGTAATCTTTTTGCAGTTTCCGTTTTAGTGGTTTGCTGCTCCTCGGCAGACTCTTGAGTCAGGAGACGGCGCTCCTGAGCAGCAACACCAGCAGCATCACTAGCAGCAGCATTAGCAGCAGCACTAGCAGCAAGCCAGCGCCTGCCTTTTCCGAAGTAAGTGGGAGAAACATGGCGGGCAAAGATGCTCTAGTACTCCTAGCAGAAGAACCAACAGCAGCAAAAGTGGTAGCGCGTGCGGCGGCAGAGACGGCAGCATCAGCTGCAGATGTGGTAGCTCATGCGGCGACAGAGACAGCAGCAGCACCAGCTTCTGCTGCTGCAGCGCCGCCAGGAGCCCAAGGTGGATGCTGCCCTGGAGACTCCGCTCCAGCTGCAGTGAATGTGGGGGAGGAGCCTCCCCAGCCTTCAGCCGCAGCAGCAGCAACGGAGGAAGCAAGTGAGTTGCAGCATGGTATCGCACGGGATGCGAGCCCCATCAAGAGCGGAGCACAGGAGACTCGGCAGCAGGCAGCATCAGGGACAGCAGCAGCAACAAAAGCGCAACAACTGCAGCAACGCGCCCTCCATCATTTCTTTCCATCTTGCCCGCCCCCGCCCTCGCCGAAGAAGGCGACGAGGAGAAACAATCGGCAGCAGCAGCAGCAGCAGCAGCAAAACAGCGAAGAATCGGCACCCCGAGCGGAGAGTGAGGCCGTAGAGACCACCCCTTCGAGGAGCAAAAGGAGAAGCCGTGTGCTGCTCAGTGCTGCAGCTGCCGCAGCTACAGAAGTGGCAGCAGGCGCTGCTGCTGCTGCCCAAAGCAGCAGCGTCGGTGCTGCTTTTGCCAGCGATGCAATTACTGAGTCAACGGGAGGTCGCGTTAAGAGGAGCCGCCGGCTCACACAGAATAAGGATGATGCTGCGGCTGAGGTTGCTGTTGCTGCTGCTGCTGCACCTGAGGAGGGTGAAAAGATGAAAAAGCAAAAACGGCTGCCTTCAGTGGAGGACACTGCCGCCGTCGACGCAATAGATGTGGACGACGAAGACCAGCAGGGGAAGCCGCAACAGCAGCAGCAACCGCAGGATCAGCCGCAGCCGCAGGAGCAGCAGCAATCTCAGGGCCACCAGCATCAGCAGCAGTCGCAGCAGAAGCGTGGCGCCACGAGGGATCAAGCGGCAAGGATAGCAAAGGGGCTCAAGGGCCCTTGGAGCGAAATATTCGGAGCCCCTCGTAAGGCGGCTGCCACAGCGGCAGCTGCACGAGCTTCTCCCCGAGAAAGAAAAGCGAAGCCTCAGAAGTGCCCCAGTCGCTCTCCGGTCAGCAACAGCAGCAGCAGCAGCAGCAGCAATGAGACGGCGGCACTTGATGCGCCATGCAGGACGGAACGGGATATCGAAGCGGTCCACCAACAGCAAGCGAATCTGATGAAACAGCAGCGGCAGCAGCGGCAGCAGCAGCTGCAGCACCAGGAACTGCAAGAGAGGCTTCGAGCACTGCAAGAGCAGCTCGCTGTGGCAGCTGTTTGCCGCCAGTGGTTAGACAGTCTGTCAGCTCCGCTGCAGTCGCAGTCTGCTGCTGCTGCACCTCACGAAAATCTAAAGGAGCTTCTAGACGTCCCCTCTAACGATCACCGTTTTGGCTGGGCCGCGTCCAGGAGTACGCCAACGGTTTTCTTGTCTGGCCCATTTGTTTTTACTTCGGAAGTCGCTCTTCGAGCTGCAATAGAGGCAGCTGGTACGTACAAGGCATCCTGTTGCTGCTGCTGCAGTTGCTGCTACTGTGGCTAATCGGAATTTCCTGCATGTTGCATTCAGGTGTGTTGACAACCCGCTGTCGCCGCCGAGCTCGTTGTACAGTTACAGGGTGTTTGCCTCCAAGTGACTTCACAGTAGCAGCAGCAGCAGGCATAGCGGATGGAGAAGCAGTGATTGGTGAGAGCCAAGTGCTGGAAGCCCTGGGTGTCTCTGTGGAAACAGCTAGTGAACGATTCAGTCCACTGCACCCCCGCAGCTGCCAGCCGCTTGCTGGTGCAGTGAGGCAGACGCTCAGCTGTGTGCTGAAACGGCGGCAACGGCTGCTGCAGGCACAACATCAGTTGCAGCTGCAGCACCAGCTACAGCAACAGCAACAGCAGCAGCAGCAGCATGAAGAAGGTAGCAACCATGAGGAGCTCATGTACAGGCAAGAATTTAACCAGAAAGAGGAGCGATTGCAAGTCAAGTTGCCAGAATGCAGAGTACAGGCTGACGAGCAGCAGCACGCGTGCCCTATAGGCATACAGGCTCAGCAGCAGCGGCAGAAGCAACAACAGCAAGACGATTTCACCCAGAGTCTACAGCAGTCGGATCATTGCCAAGCCCAGGAAGGCGGCCAAGACCAAAAGCAGCAGCAGCAGCAGCTGGGTGAAGAAGCGGCGTTGGACTTGTCGTACTTGAGAGAGATATGGCCAGTGGCATTTAACCCTGTGTCCCCTGCGGAGATTGGTGGCCACGACGATGCTGCTGTTTCTCTGCATGCCCTGCTATCCGCTGCTGCGCGCTCTTGTGCTGCTGCTGCTGCTGCTGCTGCTGGCGGTCGACAGGGCGCTGCTCCCGCCGTTGCAGCTCCACCAACAGCAATTTGTGTGGACATTACAGGACGGGACAGGAAAAAGCGACGTTCCTGTGCGGTTTCACTGGGAGGGGATGAAGGGCCTCAGCCTGCACCTCCCACGCCCGGTGTTGTTGTGGTGCTGATGCCGCCGAGGACGGGGGGCAAGGCCCTGGTGCGTCTTACTGCTTTGGCCTCTCGCTTTGCTGCAGCAGAGGAAGAAACATTGAGGGAAGCTTCACACATAGAGGGACTGATGTATTCCTTCCTTTGTCATGCTGCGGAAACAAAAGAAATATCGAACCCTTCGCTTGCTGCTGCAGCAGGCAAACGTGAAGCTGCAGATGGTGCACCTGCTGAGGCGCCCCCGCAGCCTCTTATTCGCCTTAGCATCTACGACTTGTGGTCACTTTCAAAGAAGCAGCTGCAGCGGCTGTTGCTGCGGCGGCGAGAGGGGGCATTGCGGGTGATGCAATTTCAAGAGGGAGACGGCTCTGCTTCTGCTGCAGCAAGACTTGCTGCAGCAAATGCAGCGTCTGCTGCTGCAGCTCCCGATGTGTGTCTTGCCGTGTGGAGGGAGGGGGATGATGCTGCCTCAGCCAGAGCAGCAGCAGAGGGCCTGATCGAAGATGCAATACGAGACCCTGCGCTCAAGGGCGCGTCTCGCAGCTCTGCCGCTGCGTCAAGGCCGCAGCAGCAGCGCAGCAGGGCAGCAGATATTCCTGAAGACGAAGCAGGAAACAGCTACAGGAACACAGTTGCCTATGTCGAACTCTCGCGGCCTCCTAGAGAGGTGTTCATTCAACGGCAAGTCTTGCAGCTCCCCATGCTGCAGCTGCCTGCGGTTTGTTTGTTGCAGCAGGCGTGCCAGCCATTTATTATCCATTTTTTCATCTGATCTTATTTCTGCTGTTATGTGTTTACATTCCTGCATGATTCAGGCTGCTGGCCATCGTCAGGGGAGCCCTAGCAGTACGAGTGGATCGCCGCTTTGTAGGTTTGGTGTTAGATGCTACAGGGCCTCTCAACGAGGAGGAGTGCCCTTCTCTTGGTGCTGCTCTGAACTGTCTCCACATTGTTCTTCGCACCCATCCGCACCTGCGCTACTTGCATGCAGCAGCAGCAGCACCACCAGAAGCTGCTCCTGCTCTTTCATCAGAAGGACTGAATGCGGACACGGTCTGCACGGCAGCGACAGCAGATGCAGCCACCTTGCTGCCTTACGAGGAGCCGCCGTGGGACGAGTCGGTCTCGGAGCGCGAGCTGAGGTGGCAGAAGCAGGAGTTGCTACTGCGGCATTTCGTGATTCCTCCTCTAGAGAAGCCCCTTGAGCTGCCTTGGGACCTCGCAGAGGCTCCGTTGATGCCGGCATGGCGGCTGCAGCGGGGCGGCAAACAGCAGCAGCTATTGCTCTTCTCACTGCTAAACGCTCAAGTAGGAGACATCTTAGTGGCCCCTTTGCATGCCCTGGATCTGCTGTTCTGCAAGATGATGGCTTCGCGTGATGCACGCGGAGCCCTTGCAGGAACCACTAGCGAGCAGGCTGAGATGCTAAGGGAACAGTCGATATGCAACATTGATCTTATTCTGCGCGCGTACCTATCTGCGGCAAAAATGCTCAAGTGGGAGGAGACGACACGGGGACCTCTAGCTGACGTGAATGATGAAGCGCTCTGTGTTTTGGAGCTAGAAAAAGCAGACAAGACTTTCTCAGGCGGTTCCTACTCACATTGTACAGATGTAGAGACGCTTTGCGCAGCTGTGTCAAAGACATCCCCACTATGTCTGGCTCCCCTGGCTTCCCCCGCAGCTGCATTAGCCTGCGAGCTTGTGGGGGAATTGACGCTGGGTTCTGTGGCCATGCTGCAGCACGGGGACCTCCCTGGGGCCCTCGAGTGCCCGGAGAGCGGTTCGGCTGCTGCCATGCTGCAGTGCAGGCGAATGCGGTCCCTTGCGTTGCAGCAGCGGCAGATGACGCGCAGGCGCATGCAGAAAGCGGCGGAAGGGCCCCAGAGGGCCGTGTTGCTAGCCCAGAGACTGACAGCCTTGGCACTCAGTAATTTTGCCCATAGTTGCAGCACCCGACTGCCCTCAGCCGTTGCCGCCTCCAGCGGAAAACGCGCAGACTTCGTGGAGATTGTAGACGCAGATGACGCGGGCAGCGAGAGCAGCATGGACACACCAAATGGCGTAGACGTTGAAGAGAGTAGCTGTGAGGAGGCTGCAGTTCCACCAGCTGCCGGCTCGACGGGAGTAGAGCTTGACGTCATGGAGGCACTCAACGGCTACGGTACATTGGGGGTATTATCTTTTGCCTCAGTCAGCACCATCCTGCACGGGGGTGACGAGCTGCGGCAGTCTTTGCTGGAGCGCGCAGCGGAAATGCAAAAGAAGACCATAGGGAAAGGCAAAGTAACTAGAGGGGGCAGAAACAAAGGGATCGCTCTCGACCCACAGGCGAGGCTAGAAGTCATACTGTCGGCGCTTGAGTGCCAAGTTACTTAGTCTGTCTGTGGTTCCTGTTGTCTTTACACACAACATTGTAGAGATGTGGGGTGCCCGGGCACTTTTTTCCTGCAACAGTTGGTTTTTCGCTGTGGCTAACGTCACACACAAGGCGTCTACTATGGTGGCAGCTGTTGCTGCTGATGCTTCTGGAATCGTTGTTTGTTCTTCTGTAGGTGGTTAGCTCCCTTGATGACAAGAGGGTGCTCGTGACGGCGGTGGGTGGAGTGCAGATCCTCTGCTGTCCACTGCACACGCTTCAATTCTGGTCCTTGTCATGCGGCCTCTGGGAACTTGGTTTGCTCTATATGCGATAAGCATTCACCTTCCACGAGAAACGGCGACAGCAAAAGCTCTACTTGAGTTCGCATACAGAGATAGGAGCCCCAGACTCCGCAGCGTTCAGCTGTCAAGCCAAGAGTTTCTGCTGTTGGCAACAATATTAAGTACGCTGAGGACGTACCAGAAGTATCTTCACGTCTCACAACATCTCACCGGCTGTAACAATGCAACTGGATGGGGACATCTAACCGTGGGAGAGTGCTGCTTCGTCTTATATGCGAGACCGAAAGTCTTGCAGTCATTCGCGAAGCGTCGGGGGTCACATACAAAGACTAATACACACATGCGCACCAGGGGGACACAACCATCAGGTAGACGGTAGTCACGGAAAGCCAACGACGCGTGCACAGGGGCCACAATGTAGACTTGAAACATATAATTGGCCTTGAACATTTCTAGTGCGAGTTTGTAAAGTCAGCTGTACGCGAAAGCCGCAAGCGCAGCTATGCTCTGCCGCATATATAGTAGAGTCCTGCAGGCTGCGGAAGTGCAACGGCACCGGAGATTCTCAAATGCCTTCGACAATGTCCCAGTTAGTTCGCTGTATGCTACTTAGCGGTGGAAAAAGTGGACAATTCGTATCAGGCGGGCCACGTGACTTGTGCTTCTGCTCCCACGCAGAAGCTGCGTGGCCTGCCCAATACAGCTCATGGGTTATTGGCAAAACAGGACAGGGCGGAACGCAAGAAGCACCACGGTTTCCTACAGATGCGCGTCAGCATTGAGTGCTCCCTACGGCCATTCCCGCCAAATACAAAGTGGTGCGGTCTGTCGTGTGTGCATGTACTTTACAGAGACATAAATCTACATAATTGTTTATATAGTAGGTAACACTGGACCATTCCAGCATTCAGTGTAGCAATTAAAGCTAAGACGCGCGTCATATGCGCCCGCCGAAAGCCAATGGAGTTAGGTTTTCTGTCGCTTCAAGGTTCGCTTTCACGAGCAGTGCCACGCCGATGTGGCTCTGCAGCGCCTTCGCCGCATATTAAAGCGCTGATCCTCAGTACGCAGACGCGGTGAAAGCTTGAAGCGAAAACGGACAAAAAAGCCAAGACTCTGCGCAGGTGAAGCAAGCTGTGCACAGGTGGCTCTACCAGTCGACTTGACCATGACTAAAGCGTAGCTGTTGGCCAGAGAGAGAGCAGTCTGAGTTGGCTAACTGAAGGGAAGCCATGGACGTCTCTACATTCTTGTTCTCTGAGAAAGACTGATGTAGGTAATCTCGACGAAGGCCAACACAGACCAAACGACGCGGCTGGATGCTTGTTTTGTCAGCTCTCCAATTTATTGCACAAATCCCATTCACTTCGCTTTTGAGTCGTTTGCGCGAGGCGAACCCCGCTCGCTTGTTGGCGATGCAGCAGTAGAACAAGATGGACCTAAGACAGAAAACGCGATAGACAGCAGATGCAAAGCCGCGACTGCGTAGGAAGCGCTAAGTTACCCTCCGCATGTTTGCGCGTTCTTTGTGCTTCGCCTCCTGTGACAGTTACCGATACATTCGCAAGTGAAAAGCAATGCACTGTCATCCGTTTTTGCCCACCCTCAAGTATATTGGTGGACATCGCGCCTTTGATCGCCAAATATATGGCAAAAGAATAGGCAGCAGCTCCGAGAAGAAGCAGCCAATCAAAAAACGTGGGACGAGTTTCTGACACCTCAATTGCTACTGATGGCTCCTGATATCAACCACAGGATTTGGCTCAAGCGTACCAATTCAAAAAGGAAAACTTTCGTAGATGAACAATGAACAGGCGCACGACAGCATATGGAACACATGCAAGCATATGCCATGTAGACAAATCCAGAGAATCCGCAGCAGGAAACGCGTGACCGCTGCATATGCGAAATTCGTGAGCGCAGGTTGCAACAGCCTCTGTCTAGATTATGATCGTTCACGTCCCTCTGGGATCGTACGCCAATCAATATCTTCAAGCAAAAGCTGGAAATGGAATATTTAAAGGCGGTCTTACGTATGAAAAGGAGAATTCGCCCATGTCGACATCGAACTCATGCAGCTCAGTTGATAGTCCCGCGTTCTCCATCTCGTCTGATAGGGACTTGACAAAAATGCGGTTGGCAAACGGCGAACTCATGTACTCTGGTACGTTCCGGTAGGCGAAGAACCTGAAGCAAAATCAAGCGAACGGAGTGACAAATACGCAGCTAGAAAACCAAAAAATATCCTCTGCACTAACATTTTCAACTAACTTTCACACAGCTAGCTACAGCATTTCGTCGACTTAAAGAAGTTCAGAAAGACATAAAAGTGAAAATGCAGCGACACTTAAGCAAGCACACAAACAGTGGTGCCTCTGACATTTTATGTTGATGGAGTGCTGCAACAACAGACCCAAGCTTAACGGTTCAAGCAGAGCACCACTTACGTTTTGACAAAACAGGTCAAAACGAAACACAGTCGGGCGCTAATGCGATTATTTGTAATATATATGGCTTGTCTTGCTACAGGAACGAGATGGTTAGTTGATTCCTGTTTGTCAGACTATGAGCGTGTATACGTGGACATGCACGCCTTTGTTTTTCATATGCCTATAGATGTGTTCGTAGTTAGGTGATATTTATCAGCTTGCCTTGGAGTTTTGTTGCAGAACTTAACCCATGAGCTGATGAAGACGTCAAACGCCTCTTCACCGCCGCGAAACGTCAGGCGAGTGCTGGGCTTCTCCACACTGGCCAAAAAACGCGCAGTGCCTTCTGCCAATCCTCGTACAGTCTTCACCAGGGCATCTTTGTTCAGGCTGAGAAATAAGTTGGGGACAATTTATCATGTACAGTATTGCCGATAATTTATCGCTACCTTTCTCCTTAACCATGCCCGTCAAACGCTAAGGAAAGTACAGGGGCATTAGACAGTGACCGCGTACACGCTTATCTTGCCAAACAGCAAGCACATACATAACACAGCACCTATACCTGATAAAAATGGTGAATCAACTACTCACGCAAACACCTGCAGGTACCTGTCATCTGTCAGCGAACTTCGATTCCACAGATGTTTGAGCTCCTGCTCTGCTGAGAGAGTGCCTGCAATCAGTTTAGCCCTTGTGAAGTGCTCATGTGGCCAAAAGGGCAGCACCTTCTCTCCTACGGCGATTTTCTTCGTTCGTGTGGACATCTGCACTCCTTCTTCTAATAGCGAGTTTTCCAGCATCTGCAAAAAATCAAGACACCCTATACAGCGATACGAGAAATGATCACAAATTTACAAAACGTCCCTGAGCCGAAACTCCAAACCGAGGTTCGGAGCGATGCAAGCAATACTACCACGAAAGAAGGCACCAACAATGTTAGAAATGAAGATGTACGTATTTTGGGCTGTACAAGGAGGCATGCAGTTCGCATTGCGCAGACGAACCTGCACAAACCGGGAGGCTTCAGAGTCCTTGTATGCCTTCGGTGTGTGAAGACTTAGGGCGGTGGAGGCCACATTGTCAAGGCACAGCACGTATCGAGTGGCGTTCAAAAGACTAAGTGGGCACCACAAGACAGACAGCACGAAAACAACAATGTGCAGATGCTACACTAATAGTGGTCTTACAATAAATGAAAAAGCAGATGCATGACACAGAAGACAACCGTGGCCACGATGCACTCAATTTCGATGCACTCAATTTGATTTACTTCCCTGACTGTGTCACGTCATCAACGCGGCAGCATTCTCCAAGCTCACAGGACAAAAACAACTTTAGTGGACCCGAATTTGCTACAACTGCTTCAGTCCTGAGACGCTGTAAGCTCACCGTGGGTCTGTCCGGCCAATCCAATCGGCCACCCCTTCGTAGTTCATTGCACTGGCGTCCGCCAACACAAATGCCACGCTGTATGCCGGAGGTTCTTGTTTGTAAAACTTTTTCAACTCTCGAGCAAGCCACAGAAGAGCTGCACGGAAGTCAGTGATAAAAGAAACCGCATGAAAGCTAAATCTCCTCCACCACTTTTGTGCAAACAAAGCTTTGAAAGGTAACCTCTGAAATTCACTCTCACAAACAACGTTCTTTAACAAATGGCAGCAAGACTCTGTGCAACTTTTTTACAATCTCCTACACGAGAGTATCCCTGAATGTACACGAGAGTATTCCTAAATGTGCATGGAAGTAAGCACACGCCTCAAGGAACAAAAAAGCAGGCAGAGATATATCAACAAAGTGCACAAAGGAAATCTAGCTGCAAAAGTATCCATATATTCGTACGCGCTGAAAGTATACACGAGCAAGCCCCTAAATATATATGCGAGTCGAGGTATATATGTGCATCAGCTGCTCTTACTTATGAGTCCACTGCCGCCAGTGCTGATGCCCGTCGCGAAATGCTGCACGCAGCACACAAGAATGTCCTTAACTGTCATTTTGACAGCTTCTGCAACAGTGTCAACACAGTTGTAAGGCTCGGCTTTACCCTCAATGCGCGTGTTTAAACAACGCATTCAAAGCAAAGGAAACAGCCTGCGGTCACCTTACCGGCACGGCAGCGAAGGCATCATGATGAGCGACAAATACTATTGTGGGCGGAAGGGCGCCGTCTTGCCCAGGTTGCCCATGGAGCCACGACTACACGAACAAAAGAAACCAGGTGTGTTTACTGGTCATTTGTTGAGAAAACACAATTTAAGGGAACAGCACAGTACTGTACACTCACATTGACGCGTACGCGCAATCACTTCGACGTTGATTTGAGAGGAAAATCGGGTCACGAACATACGTATTACCTCCTAACTCGTGAACTAATTGCGAGCTCCTGAGCGCTGTTGAATGTTTCCAAGAAAGCAAGCAAATATGAATGTGCAGACGTGCACAATCTATGCCGGTGCTTCACATGTTTATGTAAAGTATACGCACGTATTCGTATGTACATACTTTCAAATATACATGCATTATACATATATATATATATATACATATGTACATGGTAGGCATAATGCACATGAGCGCATATATATATATATATACGCATATATATATGTATATATGGGTATACAGATAAATATCTCAAGGTTACATATCTCAAGTGACAGGCATAATATCGGCCAGCACGCACACATATGAACAAGTGGATCGGTACGCATAAATTCCTGCAAATGCATCACGTTAGTACTAATAGCATCTCGTGTATAAGCGCAGTGCATTGGACACGTGATGCCAGAAAAATCCATCCTGAACTTGCAAATGCTACTTAAGAAGACGAACTGTCAGCGTCGAGCCCTTCACTGATTTGATAGGCTGCCACTCCTGAGAGTAAGTAGTGTAGGTCGTTAAGTAGGGGCGCAGCATCCGCGTTCTCGCAGGGGCATCATCGTACTCT